CGCCTTTCCAAAATAGACTCGGAACTTTTGCACTGCTAACAGAACTGCAAGTGCCTCTCTCTCGGTCGCGGAATAGTTTCTTTGTGTTTGATTTAAAGTCGGCTAAAAAATGCCACGGGCTGCTGATTTTGCGAAAGTACCGCTCCTACCGCATAATCTGAAGCATCCGCTGAAATTTCTAAATTTTCATCCTTTTCAGGAAATTTCAACACAGGGGCTTGCGTTAATGCTTGTTTTAATTTTCGAAAGCACTATTGGCTTCAGCCGTCCACGAGAATCTTGCCTTTTTCCTTTTAATTTTAACAATGGCTCAGCGATAGCCGCAAAATCTTTATAAAGGACCTATAATATGAACAAAGTCCTAGAAAAGAAGAGAGCTTCTTTACCGTGTTTGGAGTCGGATACTTTTGTACAGCGATTATTTTTGATTCATCTGTCTCGATCCCTTCTTGCGATATTTTGTAACCTAAATATTTAATTCAGGGGCTGCAAATTTGCACTTTTCGACATAACTTTTAGACCGGCCTCATTTAATAAAGAAAACACCTGTCTTAAATCTGTATATGTTGGTCGAGATTATCACTAGTAATAATGATATCGTCTAAATAGATAAATGTGGACTTTCCAAGAACAGGTCTTAACACAAGGTCCATGCATCGCTGAAATGTTGCTGGGGCGCCTGAAAGGCCAAACGGCATACGCAAAAATGCATAAGTGCCAGACTTGGTTATAAAAGCAGTCTTAGGCACGTCCTCAGGCCTGACCCCTATTTGAAAATAACCATTCGTTAAGTCTAAAGTCGTCATAATTTGGTTGATTTTATGTTCCTTAAAATTTCTTCTATGATCGGTAACGGATATACCGGATATTTCGTTATGGAATTTAATTTACGGTAATCAATAGCGAATCTCCACCTTTTTGGATGCTCCAAAGGATAATCATTATTTTCTTACATAAAACCACCGGACTAGCATAACTACTTGAGATAGGACGTTATGATCTTTTTACGTAGCATATCGGTAATATGCCATTCTATAATTTTTTTCCTTATTCTTATCATACCGGTATGGTTTTTGACAAACCGGCAATGCATCTCCAGTGTCAATACTATGGTTAGTAACCTGAGTAAATCCTGGAATATCACTAAATAAGGAAGCAAATTCACTTACCACTTGTCGGATTCTATCTTGCTCGTCATTAGGCAGGTGGTCAAGATTTAACCTTGGCGGTTCAACCTTTTCTACACGCACTGGTTTCATCATCAGCTTAAGGGATGCTGCATTAAAATCCAGTGTAGCTTGTGTGTCTGAAAGAAAGTCTATTCCTAGGATTAAATTTGCTTGCAAATTCTTTACTATAAAAAAATCACCTTTACTTGTTCGCCTTGATACGGATGTACAAAGGTACTTTACCTACGCACTTACATTGTTCTCCTTGCGCCGCTAATACTGTTGTATTATCCGCATTATATATGCGGTATTTGCGAAAATACTTTCTAAAAAGACTTCTGCCACACAGGAACACTGCGCGCTGGTATCCAGGAGTTCGGTGGCCGGGATATTATTTACCAAGACTTCAATCTTCGGAAGAGTTAAATTTTTCACCATTACTGTATTTAACTTGTAGGAAGAGGGGTTTCATGGCCTTCAGATTTTCCGCACCCTCTCGTCAGCAGAAATCCGTTTTAGTTTAAATTATTTTTTCCTTTCGGTGCTTTCCTTCTTTCTCCACTGGCCTTGAGACTTTTTTCCTGGGTTGCTATTGAACTGTCGACGTTCGCCGGCTGTTTTTGAATGCTCGGGTTTCCTTGCCCACTGATTCGCTTTTTCTCCGTAGCCATGTGCTTGGAGTTTGCTGTAGTCTTGGCGTACCAAATTGGTTTCGCTGTTGATATTGGCGTCTTCTTTCGACGTCCGCCGTTCTTCTACTTTCAACTGCATTGCTAGCTCAAATAACTTTTCCAGTGTAGTCGGATTTCGTAATTCAATAAGTCTTGCACTTGGGGTAGTAACCTCGGCAAAATCACTTGAATTATTTCAGGATCCGGACGGTTTCCATACAGAGCTTGAAAACGTGAATTTTTCTTAAAAATAAGCTCGAGAGGTTTTCCATTCTTTGTTGATATATACTGAAAAGTTCTGTTTCTAATTTCGCACGATCCCTTACAACAGGGAAGGCTTTAGTAGGGCAGTCTTGAAATTTTCGTAAGTATAGGTGGGACTTCCTGCTTGACCCAAGAGACTTCTGCCGATACATTTGAACCAGTTAAGCGCTTGGCCCCTCAAAGCGCTGGTAGCTAAGGTAACTTTTTGAAACTCGTGCACGGGGTAGAGCATGAAGTGGTCATCCAATTTTTCCAAAAAACTGGTTACCTGTGAGTTTCCATTAAACGTTGCTTCTGGTTTCATCGAAGCGCGCATGGTCTGGACGATGTACCCAAATCCTTCCAGAGCGGCAGCTGGCATTTCTAGATTCTGAGCCGTTTCTGCAGGCAGCACAGGTTCTTCTTGAAATTCGGCCATGCTTATTCTTCGTCGGGCGCCACTATCAGGTTCAATTTTCTTCTAACCTTCTTCAGAAACATACAATGACCTGACTAGGAACAGAGAGCTTACTAAAGCTATGTTCACTAATTGTAGTAAGTAGACAGGATACAGACGAAGGGTATACAAGACCCTTTATTTTTCTTTATATACAATGACTTCCGTACTTCGGAATACAATGACCCTCCACTCGGGGTCTAACGTAAAAGGTATAAAAATAAAACTAAACTCTAATTTAACTTTAAAATAAGATTGGCCTTATAATAACAGGAAGCGTATGTAGCACAGAGACTGTGAACACTACAATACGTTTAATTTATCAAGAGGATTAAAACCTCTGGCCTGGAAGGCAAATAGCAACTGCGTAACTTCTAAGGTAAGCGGCCTGCTTCGAACTCACTGCTTCCTCTCTCCTGCTTGGCAAAAAGGCCACACTTAAATACTTGACGTTCGCCAGACAACTTTGCATAAACTCCTTCACGCTTATAATTCTGGCCGGAAGTAGAAAATAAGAAGTGATAGTAAAGATTTAAAATAAAATAAACGTTAGTAAAACTTAAGATCCTTACAAATGTTCTGATTTAAGAATGAAAAGTAATGTTTGATGTTTATTCTTCATGTTCTTTAGCAATGCAGATTTTTGATACAATTTGTAATCATTTTCGCACGTATCTGCCTATTGAAGGGGCTTATGACACACTCGAAGGATCGAGAATATGGCATCCATTGTTGAACCTGGGTCGTAAAATTTCTTTATCAATATGCAAACTATTGTTTCATTAGGTGCACTTTCAAGCTAATTGTCAGGAAGCTTTGTCCAATGATTACACAAAGCTTCCTAACAGTCAGTGCATAACACTCACAATTCTTATAATGAATTTGTGCAACCAAAATTTCTAGTTTCTTTGTGTAATTCGCATAATGACTAAGCAGCAGCATAGCTGTGAAATGAGCTGACAGTATTAAATTCCAGCATTGTCAGGTCAAATCCAACTCAACATTCTTGAACCACAACGTTTGCCTGTTTAAAATATGTTAAAATATTTTCTATATTTTAAGAATGAAATATAGTGGAGGGGGGCATATTAAATTCAGGGCTTATTTGGGGGGTGTCCTATGTATGCGGTCAAGGTTTTGTGTTAAAAAAAATTGGAGTAACATAACTGATTCTTTCATCCCTCAAATATGTATTTAGTATTTTTAGTTTTATTTGTTGAATAAATCTGATTTAGGTTTTAGAACTACTAGCCATTGCTATGGATGTTTATAAGATTCTATCTAATAAATATAATGTTATTTGGAGGCTTGATCTTAACTTGAACTGTGAAGTGACTGTTCGCCAAGTTCAACTTTTATGAGGAACAACATACGGAGGGTAAAAAGACCCTTTTATTTCCTTTTTTACTAAATCAACTGAAGCTGTGCAGAGATATTTAACACATAGTTGTCTCTTATCTGCCACCAGCATAGACTAACCAACAACTCATATGCTTGGCCATAAAATAACAAGCTTAACTTTGAGAGAAATAATATGGCTGAAAGGTAGTGTATGCTCTAAATGCACTCTTAACATGCACTGTCCGAAGTAACTCAGACACAGTTTAAATAGTAGCTTCTACCATATTTTGTGTAATGCCTGAAACTGAAATATCATTCTAGCTAAAAAGTGGGTTTTGAAAACAATTCTTTATAGGAAAGGTTGCTTCCAAAATAGAATTAACAGTTAGTTAAACTTAAATAAAAAACCCACATGCTAAAATATTATATATCGATTTAAATAAAAAACCCACATGCTAAAATATTGCGATTGGTATGGTTCTGCATTTATTTTCTTTTCTGGGGGAGTAATTTTTATTCTCTGATTTATCCTTTTATTTTTAGTATAAATATCTATTAAATATGGCTATTAGCATTCGTTTTACTCAAAATGATGCATTGATTCTTTGTGTTATTTAGAAATTTAAAGTTGCATAAATAATATTGAGTATTTTATATAATACTCAATATGGTTTATTATTTTTACTCAATATTTAATAATAATATTGAGCACTTTCAGAATTTAGCTCAGAAAAACATAGTAATCGTGTTGAAAGCTTTTTTTAACTTTTTTCTGTATTTCAATTTTTCTCAATTTAGTAAAGGCACAGGATGGAAAATTGTAAAATAAATGTGTGTTTGTTATTTAATGCAGTCTCTTTTTTTTTCCCCCTTGTTGCACTACTAAACTGTAAGTATTAATAAAAAAATATGAAAACCATTAAACATAATTTGGAATATTGTTAGTGTAATTCTTATTAAACATTATTCCATATTATGTATAGTGTTTGTTCTGAAACTTTGCAATTGTCACAGCAAAAATATCGTGATTTTTCAAAGATACTAAAATTATGAAATGTGCTACATTTTTTTTGTAATAATTTGTTAACTAACTGGTTTTTAATCACCTTTTTTATTAAGAACCTGGTAGTGCTCCCAGAAATGTTCAAGCTAGACCTCTGAGCTCTAGCACTATTGTCATCCAGTGGGATCCTCCAAAAGAGCCAAATGGACAAGTTACGGTATGCAAACATGTTTGCAGTATTATTATTTAAATTGTTTTCTTAATAAAAAATGGTAAATGCTAAATAGCATGATAGAATAGATGAAAATTATGCATTCATAGTTTATTATTCAATACCCAGGGTGTCCCATAAGTTTGTAAATATTGTAAAAATTGAAAGAATTGGTATAATTGAACTCGGTTTGTGAAAAGTTATTCCCGTGAGCTTTTTGGGGGGGTAGGGGTGGGAAAGGGGAACATATTTTTAATTTTCATCAATAGAGGGTGCGCACAGACGCAGTAACAAGAAGCATGTAAATCAGAGTCCTATAAATTGCAGGTTTGACTGTTAACAGCTCATTTCTGATTTTCCCTTCTACTAGCTCAGATGTAGAGTTTTAATTGTGATGCTGACATTAGTGGATAAAGCATTATTAGCTAAACTGTTTTACCTCAGCCAAGAATAGCCAACCGCAGCTTTACGAAGGTTTCGGACATAGGAGGGATGGAAGAAAGGTTCAGGTCCAATCACTCTTTCTGGACTGCCTTCCATGGTATGACATTTCGACGAGATGGGGAGTTTGTGTCATCGCCTTCGCAGTGTTGCACCAAGTTTATCATAGGTCTGTACTTCTGAGGTGGTTTCGCAGATTGACACTGTAAGGGTACAATCAACAAGTGCAGTAAGTAGCGCATGAGAAGTGCCACAGAAGAGTGGTATACCGCATCCTTCACAGTGTTTTAAAATTATGTTAAGTTGCAATCAGTCCACTGGCTCTTATTAAATGACAAAGCTAAACAATATGAATTTGCAGCTTTGTCAAAAATTGATGAAAATCCACAATAGCTTCTCAATATCTTGTGCCACAGAACAGTGGTATACCACATCCTTCACAGTGTTTTAAAATTATGTTAAGTTGCAATCAGTCCACTGGCTCTTATTAAATGACAAAGCTAAACGATATGAATTTGCAGCTTTGTCGAAAATTGATGAAAATCCACAATAGCTTCTCAATATCTTGTGGACAGATGAGGCTCATTTTACATTGCATGGAATAGTCAACAACTATACCTGTAGGGTTGGGGATAAGCAGAACCCACATGCCCTTACTGAGGAGCCCCTGCATTCACCGTGTTTAACTGTTTGGTTTTACTGTGTCCACTATTATGAGCCCTTTTTCCTCTGAAGAATACTGTTCAAAAGCTGGCTGAAAGACTTGCTCAGTTACTTAAATGCTGCAACTGCTGCAGGAGAATATGACACCACACTAACTGCAACATAATGTCTTTGACATTATTGAGAAGGATAAATATTTAGCAGTATGTAATTAAATCTTCAAAACTAGACATACAAATGTATGACTTATTATGCTTTTTTTTTTCCCCCCTTTAACTCTGTTTGCTTTTTTTTCTAACTCCTCCAACAACTGTTATTCAACATTTTGATTCTTCAAAGGATAAAGAACTGCATAGAAACAATCTGTTACAAAATTCCCGAACAGTAAATTATGTGGTTAAACTCAGTTTTATTTAAAACTAAATGCTAATCTAATCCTGTAAACTGCCAGACAAATTCTTGTCCCATCTTTTCCAGTCAACACCAGAACATTAAGTAAATACAATATAAAATAATTAAAAATTTATTTTGAACAGGAACTCAAAGCTAAAATAATAAACAAGATTAACTTCCCTTTCTGGGTCTTGATATACACCAATGATTGGAAATATTTACAAGTGAGAATTTAAATTTAGTTTCTAACAACCTGACTATGCTATTCAAGGTTATTAATGTAATTTTTAATCACAGAAAAATGTACCAAATTTGTAGCATCAATGCTAATAACAACTCATCATGGAGAAGCCTTCAGTATTGCTGTTTCCACATGTGTGTCTCAAGCTCTTCCATCTATAAAAAATTCATCTCATTTTCATATTTTAATGGAGTAGAAAACAGGAGAAATTAAAGACACAATTTAGCATAAGAAATAATATATTGATTAAAATAAATTTAGATCAAATGTTAATCATACTTAAAAAACATATCAAAGCACACTTCGTTTCATAATTAGCATATTAATGAAACAATAGTTTTATTATGATTTTAAAAATAATGCAAATGTTGATTGCTATTTTTCAATAAATTAAATTACTTATAAATGAAAATGCATGTTTTTATTCATGGCCCATGAACCTAATAAGTATAAAATGTGCTAATGCAAAGCTTAATTAAAAGAATTCGGAAAACTTAGCATAAACTTTTAAATTTATGTAATTGATAAGCTAAAAATCATGTAATTATGATTGTCTTTGCTTTAATACATTTTCTGTCTTATACATTATTTGAACAAATTATGTTTATTATTTTAGGACATAATTTAGTTTAAACTGATCTTTTTGTTTACTTCTCTTTTCAGGGTTACAAAGTGTATTACACTACACGGCCGAATCTTCCCACATCTGCCTGGAATACTCAGCCTGTAGATAATAACCAATTAACTACCATAAGTGACCTAACTTCCCAAACTATTTATACTATCCGTATCCAAGCCTTCACTAGTCGCGGTCCTGGTCCTCATTCTGCCCCAGTTCAAGTAAAAACTCAACAAGGAGGTAAATTTCCTGTTTAATGTAGGATATTTTGCATTTATCAATCTTGGCAAATGTTTTTTGTAATTACAGGGTTGCCACACTACCTGAAAATGTCAGGGAATTCGAAATTTGACCAAAAAATTCAGGGAATTTAAATATTTTAGTCAAAATCTGGAAAAGTCAGGGAATTTCATATGGTGATCCCAAAAAAAGCAAGTTTTGCGCCAACGTTGGAAGCAATCACTTTCTTAGCAAATAATGTATCATGTGGGCGTGGTAGCTGGCATAGAGCCAGTTTTCACAGCTCCAACCAGACTGTCTTTTAGAAAGGCAAAGCAGGTTTCCAGCAACTTTTGTTTCCAGTAACCTCGAGAATTGAGAGACTAGCATGCCCATGTGCAGTGCATGTTAAAGTAAAGAAACTGCCTTCCCATTCTTGTATAAAACAAAAATGGTTTAATCCTAGTATATGGTATGTAAGGATTTGGCAACATTATGATGAGCAGTAAATGGGTCATTTTGGTGTTGGTGACAATTTTCAAAATTGTGCCAAGGCCTTAGCGTATACCAGAATTTTACGGCAAAATCTTTTGAACCCTCTTCTTTTTTTTCCCCCCTCCAAATTATTGATTATTGCAATTCAATTTTAAGCAATTAATTTTAATTTTAATATTATTCAAATCATTTAATTGGTTTCTTCCATCTATTTATTATTAGTTAATAATACTTTCAAGTTTCAGGTAGTTTTCTCTGGCATAATCCTGAAACTAATTTTATCTGATGACATTTTACCACAAAATTTAATGCACATATTTTTTGCTATATATATGCAAGTCATATGTAATTGGCAAATTTTAGTGTTTTCAAGTGGTACCATAATTAATTTTACCTCTCAGCACAGCCAACGTGCACTATGCGGATAGACTGGGATTTTCTCATTCTTAAAACATGCCTGGAAAAGTCAGGGAATTTCATTCTCCTGTTTGAGTGGCAACCCTGTAATAATCTTCATTTTTGTTTGCTGTATTTTAAAAAATAAAACTTCCTATATCTCATATTTGATAGAGAAATCATTTAAGGCAGTTGCTTTTTTATGAAAACTTTTTGGCTGATACAGCTATATAAAAATTCCTGTAAAACTTTATAGATAATCCTTTGCAGAAATGCTTCTTTATAAATTCTAAAGAAATTTTATAAAAAATTTTTACGGAACAGAATTCTATAAGTGTATTTTATAATGCCTTCACAGAATGGTGTTCTATAAAAATCTGAAAAGTTTTTAAGCTTTGATCAAAGCAAATGTTTAGTTTCTGATGTAATAGATGGGATACAAAAGAGCAAACACTTTTTATTCAGAGACATTGAACCATTTTTGAATGAAATTTTTTTTAGCTGAAGGTTATTTAGCTTCTAAACTTATATAATTGTTTGTCCAATTTTTTGTGCAATATTGCTTATAAACACAAAATTTAAATCTTGTAAAAAAATCAAATCAGTTCAAGTCATAAAAGGAATTAAAAGATTAAATTTATGCAGTTAATTTATTGTATATGTGTCCCTGATAAGGCAAAGGGTTTCTTAATTTGAATTTAACTTAACTATGCATTTGTTTTAATGAAAATTTTTATTAGAAAAAATGACATCTTTCTGGAAACTTTATTTTCAGAAAAAATTAATTTAATTAAAATTTATTAAATCGTTTTAAAATTTAGGTTAAAAACTCTGTTCAAAAATAAAAATTTAATTTATTCTTTTTAATCACAAAAGGAAATGTTGGTTTTATAATACTTTTAAATACTTAAAACTTCTATGTGATTTTTTAAGAAAATTAAAGCAAGGAAACCTGTTTAGAATTATGGTCCAATTTTCGGTAAGCTGGATTTGAAGTAGAATTCTGTTAGTTTATTCTGTGGTGATGTTTTAACACCATTATGTTCCAAACTCATTAGAAGGTGAACAAAAAGGCTACAATTTCGACAAAAGCCTCAGAAACAACTTTATTTAACAACTAAAAGATAAAAATGCATCTTAGAAAATTCTAAATATTTAAAATGAACACAATCATGACCTGACATCAAACATCAGCTATGAACAGGCAAGAAGTGAATCTCCTGGCAAAAAAAGCTCGTTTTTATTCTTTCACTATGATGAGCATGCACACACAATAAAAAAGGATGTTACCATTCACTGCAATGAGAATGTTCTACCATAATTCTTTGTATGGAAACTTAAGAAATTATCCAAATTTTTGTAGAATCTTGCATTTAGAAGTTTAAAGAATTCTATAGAAAATATCTGATCTACTTTATATAAAACTGGGATATAATTATGAAAATATCTAAAGAAGTTTCATATTGGATTTTTTAATAGATTTCTGTAAGACCTGACTGTCAGTATTTTGAGTTGTGCAAAATATGAGACTAAGAAAATATTGGCAAGAAAAATTGTCATTATTTAAATTAGGAGGTCCTATTTTTTACCATCAAAATTAGAAGTTATTATTAATTTTACTCAGTTAATTGTGTATTTCTTAAATTTAAATTAATTATATTTTTAAGTTGTTTGATATTTTTGTTTATATTTATATACTGTTTATCAAAAATGAATTAAATTTATTATAACTTAATGCAATAATGAATAATTTATAGCCTTAAACAAATTTCAATTTTTTTTTTTTTTTTTTTTTTTTTTTTTTAAGATACTATATTTTTGCCAAAGATCTTTTAATGGCTTTTATAAAAACTGGAAAAGTCTTACAGACTGCAACAACATTTGAGCAGATTAATTATGAATACATTACTAGATTATTATAAATACATTGTTGGTATATTAGTAATAATTCAATTCATGAGGAACTAAATGTATATCAATTGCCTATTGCTACCATAAAACTGAAATGTTTCAAAAGAAAGTTCAGATGACTAATGATGGAGTCAAAATTTATGAATACGATCTTATTAATGCTATTAATAACAGGCATTTCATGTCAGTCTGAAATATCTCTACTGTTAATACTTTAATTTCCTTTTGCCTTTCTTCTATTTTGGCATTTCTTGTATTTTCTATTCTTATTTAAGTCACTAGATTGACAGTTTTGTTGCACTTTTTGCCAGTGTTTTGTGATTATAATTTTTGAGCAATTTTTGTATCATAATTTGTTTGTATCAAGATAAGGTTTCAAAACATCAAGTAATTTAGTCAAGGTATGGCTAGAAGCCTTGGTACTTGAATATTGCATTCATCAATTATGATAGTAATTTGTATACAGCCATTAACTTTGAAAAGACTGTTTTTGATTATTTGGGGATAAATTTCATAAGCATTTCTCTACAACTAAAATATAAGTTAGTATCATGTATTACCGGGTCTTATCAGAATTTCTACATTCAGAATAATCTTCTTGTGGTATTTCTTAGAGAGAGAAATTATAATGGAATTATATGTCATTTTAAGTTAAAAAATAATCTTTTATAGAATATTATGCAAAAATGTATGAAATCATTAGTCATATAGGTTGTGGGTAGATAGGAGAAGCAAACATTCCATAGTAAAGAAGACAGTAAACATGTGAAGGCAATTGATTTAATAGATGTCCAAAAATGCATTGTGTGGGTGGGTGCTGTCTGACTATTGCTGAAGTTTCTTTGAAACTGCAGACTTAGTTCTCTTTTCTCAAACTTCATAGTTGATATGTATCAAGAATGGAACACTGGCACAGTTAACAGCTTTCTGTATCACAAGTATAAAGTCTCATATGTTGTTGATTACAGATGGGATTATCTTTGTATTTATTTGGTAAAGCACAATCGGCTTGCAAGGCATATATCATTTAACTTCTATAATTATCATAGGGAACCCAAGTACACATCGGAAATCAGAATAAAGTGAACATTATGGGCCTGTGGAATAGAATGAGGCTATACAGATATACAGAGTACCATTAAGGATGGAAATGCATCACCAAAGAGGCCTTCATTTCATGCTAAAAAATATTATAGCACTTTTTAGATTTTTAAGCATTAGCACTATGCATGTAATTTACGTGAATTCTCAACCATAATATTATTCATTGTTAGTTTAACTGCAGTCAGCAAAATGTGAAGGTCTCTATTCAATAAAATTCAAAGAGTGCTTTTGAAAAATGTGCAGTATGTGTGTGGGGGGGGAGGTTACATTTGGAGCTCAGACTATGTTCCACTTTATCTAAATACTGTTATTGGATTTAACTTTGGACCAGCCAGTCTACCCTTTTTCATTTTGTTTCTCCAGTCTTAGAAGTCAAAGATCCTGCTTTAGGCATGTGTGGGTGTATTATGATTTTGGGAAGAAAAAAAGCCTATGTAAATTATTCTTATCATGTAAAAAGTATGTTATATTACAACATGTGTAGGTAGATATCAAGATTCAAATGTTCAAAAACTAAGTTCAAGTTTCAAGTCCTAAATCAGGAAATTTTATATAGACCATTTTACTACTGTGCTAAAATTTCAGTGTTGCCAAGCACAATCTTGTTGGTGTCATGTTGCGAGCATCTGTCAGATCTTGATGGATGCTGAATGTAATTCAGAAGATTCTAATTATAACACCTTTATCAGGAATACCAGATCATGTATGATAATTATAAGTGTATTTCTCAATATGAATACTTGAATAGATGGATTAATTACATTGTCTACTAATTGATCGTTTATTGCAAGCAAGAGAGATAGACATCTAATAAACAAAACCTAATTTATCTTGAAGCAGGAAGAAATTATCTCAAAAGTAACAAAACTGTGTCAGCCAAATATTTGTAGTGCATGTGCCATAAAATTAAATTTAGAACCGCCTTAAGCCAATGAAATAATTATTCAATATTACTAAATGATGAATCAGAAATCAAAGCAAACATGTGATATTTGATTCTTTAAGTTTATTTTCTTGTGAAAATGATATAATCATAGATTTTGTCAGATTTTTGATAAAAGGGAATTTCAGTAACACAGCCGCCTATCTCTCTTGCTTGTATAAAGGAATTGATTAATCAACAATATAATTAATTGATTTATTCCAGTGTTCACATTGAACAGTATTACATTGGTGATGTTATAACAATGTGACAACAAGTATTGCTTTGAGACCATCTCATTATCTTCTTTTGTAAATAAGATTTATTATAAATTATTTCATGTGCTTACTAAATTTGCACTGAATTGAGATCCATCAACTTTAAGTTGAAGTTAGCTAAATTATTTTTGTTATTTTCAGTCCCTAGTCAGCCAAGTAATTTGCGTGTTCTTGCAACATCTTCGACTTCAGTTCTTGTTTCGTGGTCAAAACCCTCTCATCCTGGCGAGAAGGTTATTGGATATGATTTATATTGGAATGATACATTTACTCAGCAGCAATACCACCAGAGCTTACCAGATATTGATTCTTATACTTTAACCAATCTATACCCAGACACTCTATATTACGTTTGGGTTGCAGCTAGATCACGACAAGGAGAAGGTGCAGCTACGCCACCATCTCAAGTTCGTACTGACCAATATGGTAAGTTTATGTTATGAGGTAATTTTGAAGTAAAAAATTACATTTTTTAAAATATTGATTTAATAAGGTTCTGTGTAGATTTCAAAATATTAATTCATAGGTTTAAATTCTCTTAATATATCACTTCACAAGGATATATATAAAAATGTTAAACAATAAATAATTTTAAACTTTTTAATTAAATTTAATTGTTTTAGTATAATGCACAAATTATTTTGATATAAAATGCATTTTATTAAAAAAACCTTATTCAATGAAAATGTGAAATATCAGCATTTAAGTTTTCTGCTATGAGTTGTTTGCACTAATTTCTTTGAAAGTTGTTTAAATTTAATTAAGAATACATTTTCTGTGTGAAATATTCTTATTAAGATTTTTAACTTGTAAAAAATAAAATAGGCTGTCTAGAAAATTATGAAAGTAAATGGAAAAATTCTAAAATTTGTATAGTTTCACAAATTTGATGATAGTATTTTTGAATCAGTAAAACTACACTAACTGCATATTTACTAATAATAAATAATTCCATTTTGAAGTCTGTGTAATTCTTCTTATCCAAATTTTGTGTAGCTTTAATAGTTCCAGATCCAAAAGAAATTCTTTTTCATTAAAAAAGAATATGTAATCTCAAATGCTGATATTTTTGTATGTTTTCATATTTAGCCACCCTCTCATTCTGTACAGTTTTACACTGATGAATTGTATGCATCCCATAAACATGGCCATTGTAATGTTTCATGATCAGAACAGAAAGTTGCCAGTTTCCCAATCCTTTAAATTTAGTACATTCTTCTTCCCTGCAAATAGCATGAGGACCAAGTATTTTATTCCCATTCCTTCCTTCAGATTACTTGCATTGTTTACTTTTTCTTTTTTTACAGCACGCATGCAATGCATAATCAAAGTGCTGTTTCTTTTTGCCTAGTCTTGTGCTGTGCACTGTGCTGCACACGCTGTGCTCCTATATATCTTGTGTATTGTTTAAATTTTAGGCAAAATCTAAAGATTTCTCAGGTGCCAACTGATTCTGCTTGTTAGTGCATATTTAAATTATGAGTAGTATAGTAGAGTGTAGAGAGATGGTGGCATCTGTGGTATTTCACTAGTTCATTATCATGGTGCTTTGGAATTATATTAATTATTATAACTTATTAATTTCACTAGTGCAGATGTATTTCTAATTATAGTGAGTATAACACCTATATTTAAAGTAATGTGGATGATGGTAATGAAAAGAAGTAATTTATTTTTAATAGTTATTTTTACTTCAAAATATCATAAACAAAGTATGTAATTCTAGTAATATATTTATTATTTTATTAAATAGTAACTTAGTAATAGTGGCATAATTTTCTCTTTTCCGAGTTAAAAATGTCAATTCACGATTGATTAAGAAATCTGGCATTCATCAGGCTCTTTTAGTTTGTGCAAGGAAATGAAAAGTATTTATTGTGAAATTAAATTTATTTGCTTAAAATCTAATGTTCATAAGAAAAGTAAATAAAGCTTTTTTTAAATTTTTATTTCATTTTCTGATTGTATGAAAAAATCTGTTCATATTATTAATGCCTTATTCAAGGTCTTTTTGATAATATTGAATTTTCGCTTTTTTGAGCAGACCTTATATCATTCATACATATCTATTATATTAGTCATACTTATTATTATATCTGCACTAGTTCCATTTTATTATATATGAAATATCTGCAGTTGCATTAAGCTTTTCCTCCCATTATACTCTATTCGTTTTGTCCAGTAATATTGTGAATAGGTTATCTTTAAAAAATAATTGGATTTATTTTAACATAAAGAATTTTTCCCCCACCTACACTATATACTTTTATTTAACTGAAAAATGGAAATCTTGAAACTAAAATTAGAATCTAATTTATAATTTTGCTTCAGTATAAGAATCAATTTAGAAATCATTTTTAAACAGATTCGAAGAATTGTTTTCCCTTCCTTGTTTTAAATCAGGGTAGCTAAGTTTCAGGTATGTAATTCTTAAAAACAGTAATTCTTAGTAATTAGTTTTCCTATGAACTGGATATATTTTCAATAAAATTAACAGTAAATACTTTTTTCCTACACATATTGCATATATTCCTAATGTTTATTATAACTAATTTTTCTGAATTATCATTTTTTCATTTTTGGCTGTAAACTAGTCCACATTGAAAAGTCTTTTGAAGTTTTTTAACTTATGGTTTCTATCATACATTGCAAGGAATCTGCATTTCTGTTAGCTTAAATCATCTGTGTCATGCCATTGAATGAAAGATATTATTGTAAAAAATGGGTAACATTTTTTGAAAGATTCATAGAATATCATATTCTAAAGGTGATATATGAAAATTTGTATTCATATAAAACATTCATATACATAATTCGTAGGACATCATACTCTAAAGGCGATATGGTAAAATTACTTATTCAACCAGATTCATATTTTATGGGGAGGCAAAGATAAAGATAGTGAATGTTAAATTAAATACAATCAAAATTAGGATGCCTGGGCTTATTCAGGATTCTTTTCTCAGTTAAAGTCCTGGATGTTCTTTTCAAATTGCATCCGATTTCCCTTCCTGTTTCCATCAAGAAGTTAAAAATAATTCATTTTCAAAATATTAAAATTTCCCTTTGTATCATTTGTCTTTTCTTTCTTTTCCTTAAACTTGGGCATTATTATGGCTTAATATCAGAACAATTTAATGACTGATTAAATAATTTTTTTTATGTGTGCAACTGTAGAAGTCTTTGCTGTATATTGCCCCACATGCTAAATTTTTTATTTTCTTGTTCAAGCATGAAATCATATCTTGCTAATAAGTTAGAATTTAGTATGTTTATTTATTATCTTGTTAGTAAGTAATTTAAAGCAATTTATTGTTTTTTATTTTTTATTTATTTTTATTTTATTTATCTTGATTCAAAACATTTACAATCTTAAAATGATACTATTTTTTCTAAAACTCTTTTGTGTATGAATGAATTACAAATACATGTAATAATTAAATCACTTGTAATTTTGAAGCATAAAAAATTTTCAAAACTTAATTGTAGGCTCTCAAATTTTCAAAATTTGATGTAAGTTCTCTAAATACTTTGTAATATAATTGTAATTCTAAAATTCCCGAATTTAAAAATATATGTCTATTCAGAAAATTAAAATTTTAAAAATCTGTGGCAATACAGTTCAGGAACTTTCAATGTGTGCATACAGTGTGTGGAATTCTTTGGGAGAGTATCAGAAGGAAATAACTAGTTTTATGTATGCAACAAATTTTATTTGCATTAAAAAGATGGTTTTACCATGATTTACTAATGTGCAGTGTTGCTGCCATATCAAATGCTGTTAATTATTTATTGTACACCTTGGTAAAAAGGAGTGTAGTAGTACTGACCATGAAAATATTTAGATGCATGGTTGAAATTACAGCATGAAAATTATTTTAATTAATTTTGTCTGTCAAAACAAGGTTAGTTATCTGAAGCAGGAACTACTGTTTAGTATCTAGTTGAGTACACCAAACAGGGTTGTTTACTGATTTTACAATATAAATTTGCTTAATTTAGACATTTTTTATTTACTTTTTAATTTTAAGAATGCTATAAATCACAGTAAAAATATGAATTGATTCCTTAATGTTTACATGTTAGGATAAATAAACTATACCTTATTTCTGAGATTCAAAGTAGTTGAATATTCTATTAAAATTTATGTAGGTATAAAATATATTATGCATTTGTATTAATGCATAATTTTTTTTTAGAAAACCCATATTATTCTCATTTTTGAGAATAAGCAAATCACTTCTGCATTTGCATACATAAGATGTTTTTTATCTATTTATTTTTATCATTATTTAAAATTTTTAAGTGCAGTTGTAGTAGTCATTTTGTTTTTGTTTCTATATTTTTTATGTATTTAGACCTTTGCATGTTGCTTTTCAATTTTATTCGTAAACAAAAGTATATCTATTATTTGTGATTATGACTGTAGATTTTATGGAAATGATTCTTTGGTTATAAAAAAAAGTAATTGGATCTAAATTAAAGGTCGATATGTGATTAAATTTGCATAGAAATTTAATAAAATTAAGATTAATATAACAATGCAGATTTATACCAAAATAAAAGTTGAGGAAATTTTATTTAATTCAGTGTAATTAATCTTTTTATATATATATATATATATATATATATATATTAGACTTAGCTGTTAAGCTATATATAAATATTTCAAATTATGAAAACAGTTTATTGAAAAGAGATCTGGATTTTAATTGTTCTTTTTTAATATTTTAGCTTTTATTTCAAATAAAAGAGATTGAAAAGGATAATGCAAGGTTTTGAATACTTCACTTTTACTTTTAAAATTTTTAGTTTCCTAAAACAATATATTTTTTTTAATTTTTATACATTTCTGCATATTATAAATTTTTTATTGTTTATAAAGTTGTGCAGAGAAAATATGTTGAAACAAAAATGCAAAGTAGTTTTCATATTTTAGAATATTTCCCAAATTGCATTTAAATTATTAATTTAAAATGTAGAATTATGCAAATATGTTTTCAAAAAATTTTTCTTCAGTTTATGCACCTAATTAAAAATGTTTTACCAGTTTTTTTGGGGGGGGGGTAGAATAAGGTGCTTTACTCAAATTTCGAAGTTGTACTTATTCTTGCGTGCATTTCTTATAAATGTTAAAAATTTACTTGAAGAATATTTATCTTCCTTGAATGGTCTCAAAATCACAATATCAGATTTTCCCATAAAAAATAGTCTTTTTTGCTGTAGGTACAAGATTTTTCTTTTCTACTTGTATATAGTAAAATAAAAACTATAATAAAATGATTTATTTCTTCTTTAATTCTTGATTAAAAGAGTATTTAAAATTATGACTTTAATTTTTTTTTTCTCTGTCACAACTTTGTTTAATTCTGTAGAATTTTGTTTTTTGTTTTGTAGATTTATTATTTTGTATGTATGCTTTTAAAATATTTTTATAAATCAATTGCATATTATTTTTGTATTGTGATATTATTTTCCTGCACTTGATATTTATTTTAATATTTTCACTCTTCAAAACCCTAATGTTTGCATAGCTCCTCAAAGTAGTACTGCTTTTAGTAAGATTTTTCTTTATTGAATTTGTTTGATTTCTTTTATGAGAATATAAATTCAAAGATTTATTATAGCACAGCATTGTATTTTTTCTTTTTTAAAAAACGTTTAATTTTTTTAAATTATCAGCTTTTAAATAATGTTATGATAAATGATGTAAAATATGTAGCAATATCAATTATGGTGTAATACTTTGATGTTTTAATTACTATTTTTAATGTCAAATAACTAAATCGAATACCTAAACTTTTATTTTGAGCTTTTAATAAATACTTTAGCTACAGTTATTTTTCACTGATACTCACCCTATATTTATTGTTTTCAAAGCATGATAACTATGAAAGAATTCATATCGTCAGAATTTTACTTATTATGTGCAGGGGGAAATACACATTTTTTTTCATGTGTGCATTTAGCACATTATTTTAAAACTGTTTAACATAAAGTGTCACCATCCTTTGCATTTCATTAAACTGTTACAATACAGTAATGTGTTTTCCTTTAATGTGCTTAAATTTTGCACATTGAATGTTTAACTTCTGAATTGGGAAAGTAAAGGAAAATCTTATTAAAGCAGCCTTTTTTTAGTACTGGGAAGTGACAAAGAGATTAGTGAAAATATTTATTTAAGTGTCAAGTATGGGAACTTTCAATTTAAAAAAAAATTTATAAGAGAAAACCAACACAAAATTTCCCATCACTGCACATGTCGCACTCTTCCCTCCTTCCCTCCCTTCCCTACAGTGCCTGGCGCCCCTCCCCAAGACGTACGCGGCTCTGCCGTAAACTCCCGTTCCCTACGCGTCACCTGGAAACCCCCTCCCCGAGAACAGCAGAATGGTGCCATCACCTATTATAAGATCAAGTACCTGAAGGCTGAAAGTGGAGATGACCTGGCTAAGGCCCAGGAGATACGCGTGGAAGCCGATCAACGGTCATATGTAATTGAAGTATTGGAAAAGTGGACCGAGTATAGGATCTGGGTGCTTGCCGGAACTGACGTGGGCGATGGCCCACCATCTTCGCCGATTGTAGTGCGCACAGATGAAGATGGTATGTATATCACCACCTATCCCTTAGTCTACCTGTTTTCAATCACGTTATTTCTTCATCCTCTTTTACATATGCATGCTTGTGAAAATCTGGGATGCTGTAGTTTCTGAAGCTATGATTATTTAAATATAATTAAAATTGATATGATGTATTGATTTAATGAAATAAATATTAAAAAATATAGTATCTTTGCTTAATGTATTTTTTGAAGTACAAGAGATTTTTTAGTAAATAAATAAAGTTACAACTTCTTGTTGCTTTACCTATTCAAAGTCCCTGGCCAAGACTTTCAATTGGTAAAGCAATTAGCTTTTTAGGACTGTGTGTAACCACCATACTTGGTGGTGGAAAAACTAAGTATCCCAGAATTTCCATTGGTGTAACTTCCTGCATTTTTCCGGTCATTTCCTGCTCTGAAGCCAGTACCATGTTGCATGATGCATGATTACCTGAAATGCTTGTCTCGGTCAGCTGGCAACTCTCTCCTCTCCCAGTTTACTAATTTTCTCTTCATATATATATATATATATATATGGAAATCTAATTTTCTGTGTGTTATTTTTCTACTCTGTGTCATTGAGAATAGCATTACATTTTACACATTTCTCATATTTACTGCTAACTGAATTATGCTTATATACTTACTTACCTGTCTATTTTTTACATTGCTGTTGATATTTATATGACTAATTGTTTTTGCAGCATCATATGTTAATTTTATTTTAAATGTTGACTTATTGCTTATCTACAGTTTAATAATGATGTTGAAATAATTTTTGCTGTTTTTAATAATAATATTTTACTGAAATTTTTTTTTTAAGTATTCTTGTTAATTATATTTAACATGCTGAAATGCAATTTTTATTATATCTGTTCCTCTGATTGCAAGCTGTCATTATTGAGATGATGTATGTACTAATTTTTTTGTGTAAATGAGCTAATTAATCACTAAAAGTTAAAGACAATGTTCTGTTTGCTAACTCTTGGATTATATGGTAAGTTAAAAACCATAGAAATGCCTTAATAGCTACAGCTGGCATTAGGTTCATGAATTTTCAAATTAAATCTGAATTTTTTAATGACATACAATGTTATTTTTTTATAAAATCTTTTTTAATCCTGTACCTAAATTTTTAAAACATGCTGAGCAAGATTTGTGCTCTTTCGTTTTTATATCTTATTTTATATTACCTCTTTATATATATATTTTTTTTGTTTTGTTTTGTTTTATCATGATTGCTGGTAATGATAATAAATTCTTAAATGTTCTATTTCTTAAGGTTTACGAGATTTTTTTTTCCATTACTATATACTACTAATTACCAAATATATTTTTAAACTAAAATAAAACTGTTTGATAAAGTGTAGATAAAATTTATTAATGATTTATCATTGTATAAAAGTTTTTTATATGTACTTTCTTTCCTACTTGTGGTCATATCTTTTTCCTTTCTCTCCTCAGGTAATTACTCCATTTCTCCAAAAAAGAAACTTCTCTTTTCAAAATGTATTATTTTTAACTGTTCACATTTGCTTTTTTTAACAGTGCCTGGAGAACCAAGACAAGTTAAAGTGACTGTAATCAACAGTACAGCTCTAAATGTGAAATGGAAACCTCCAGCCAATAAAGATCGTAATGGTCTAATTCGGGGTTATCAGATTCATGTTCAAGAAATAACAAGCAATGGAGATTTAGTTAACGAGCCAAAACGATATGATGTTGCCGATGAAAATGCGGAGGAATATAATGTAACAAAACTCCAGCCTGCAACCCTTTATGCAGTGCAAGTTGCAGCAGTAACAAGAAAAGGGGATGGAACTCGTAGCAAGGTTAAAACAGAAAGGACTCTGGGTGGGGGTAAGAAACCAAAATTTACTTGTTTGTAAAGCTATTGGAAATTAAAAATGGTGCTACAGTTTCTGTTATTTAAATGGCACGAAAAAAGACCTTTTATTAATGGACTGTGCCAAAGTGGTAACCATAGCAAAAGCTGTAATTGTGATTTTAATTGTGGCTAAGACTTCCAGCGGCTTGTTAACAGTTTGTGAAAAACTTGAGTAGGCTTGTTGCTTTGGTGCGGTCCATGAACAAGAAAGCTCATGGTGCCACTTAACCCTCTGACCAGTTGAGGATTTTGTACTGAAACCGTAAATTTCATTATCCTGCCCTGAGAAAGAGGTATTTTCTTGATTTTAATGTTAGAATGCTCCTGGTACTTTATACCTGGATTTATTTACTTTTAATGTACTGCCTTAATGTTTTGGACATATTTGAAAACCCTTTCCGGCACACTACCTTTTTAAAGTTGGAATTCCAACAAAAAGGAAAAATGGTAGGCAGACTAATCAGGCATAGAGAAGTGCACAGGTAAAATTGTGTGTTATACTTACTGTTTTAATTTTGTGGGTGTACCCAGAGGCAGGCTCACTGAATGAATGCAACTTCAAAAAGAGTATTGATGTGAGCATAACTGGAAAGCACATAATAGAGTAAAAGATTTTGCCTGCTCTTCGAAGACAATTTGTTTAACATTTTCAAAGTTTCAGATATGATCAACCCTATCCAATCCATTTGCAAATTAATTAAAAATCAGAAAAAAAACTAATATTATAAGAAAATATAAACTATAAAATAAAATTAAATAAACATCTACAACTCAAAACCATCATAATCTAGAGCAGAGGTCGTCAACCTATGACCTGTGGGTCACTGAGTGACCCATTTGGTAATTTCAAGTGACCCACTTTAGTTCCGAAAATAAAGTATAAGATATACAAACATTTTTTTTTCTTTTTCCCAAAATATTTTTGTCTCAAAGTTATAAACGTACCAAATTTGAATCCAGTATAACATATAAAAATATCAGTTAAAGCCCCACTCCCGCCTGACTGAATATGGAATCGGCCAATAGTATACGGAATGCAGCAACATTGTCTGAACAAATTGTACCATTCCTGGACGTGCGCATCATTATCTCAGTTGTATGTCAGTTATAGTTATAGCACGTGTAGTACAGTAGCACAATAATATTGACCTAGTGACCTAGTGAAATAAATATTATTATTTAAAAAATTTACCATGAACAAACAAAAAGCTAAAAAGAGATTATTTCAAGATGTGTGGACAGAAAAGTATGGGTGTATCGAAAAGTGACAAATTGATATGTACTTTATGTACAGATATAATTACCGCCAGGACTTATAATATTGAGCAACACTTTTCTTCAAAATATAAAGATGTGAGTGAAATGGCAAATGAAGATAAATCTGAATACATTGCTAAACGTGTATTAAATTTTGGAAAACAAAATAAATTCTTAAAGAGTTTTGTTACCAGCAACAAAATCATACTACGTCTGCCAGCTTTGTTGCAGCTCTCAGCATTGGTACCAACAGAACTATTTACAGATGGCGAGTTTTTGAAAAACGCATTCATAAATTGTTCCAAACACTTATTTAATGACTTCGCAAATAAAAGACAAATAATTGAGAGAGTCAAAGAAATGCCATTGTTAGCTAGAACAGTCCAGCATCGCATTGAAGATATGGCCAAGAATATTGATGAACAGGTCAAAAATGATTTGTTATCTTGTGACATAATTAGCATTGCAGTTGACGAAAGTACCGACATAAATAGTATTGGTAGGTTTGCAATAATTATTAAATTTGCATCAATAAATAGCTCGAATGTCAATGAAGAACTATGCGTTCTTGCTTCAATGAATGACACCAAAAGGCACTGATATTTTTCGTCAAGTACAAGAGTTTACAAATTTCAAAAATGGGCAAGTATTGGATTTAAAAAGTAAATTGTTTTCCATAGCAACTGACGGTGCTCCAAGTATGAGAGAAAAAACTGTTGGATTTGTAAAACTAATGGAAAATGAATTTGGCCATTCACTTTTATCGTTTCATTGTATCATACATGAAGAAAATTTATTTGCAAAGGCATCTACACAACAAATTAAGGATGTAATGGAAAAAGTTTTTAAGATCGTAAACGGGATAATAGTGCGATCAGCATTAATACACAGGCACTTTAAAGCTTTTTTGGAAAAAATTGAATCGAAATATGGAGATTTGTTATTACATTCTGAAATATGATGGTTAAGTCGGGGCAAAGTTCTTAATAGATTTGTAGAGTGTTTTGATGATATACAAATATTTCTTCACAAAATCGGTGAAAATGATCTCGAACTCAATGATAAAAAATGGTTTTTAAGACTTTTGTTCTTAACAGACATAATGAACCATTATAATGATTTCAACATACGACTCCAAGGAAATAACCACACAATTTTGAAAATGTATGAGGAATGGAAGAGTTTTACTTCAAAATTGATATTATTTGAAACTGACATAAAAACTAAAAAAATTCATTTCTTGTTAAAAAGGGAACATGAAAAAGAAAATATCGATGAACACAATCTAAATATGTTCGAAACTTGGATTTCGGTCATTAAAAGTGAATATGAAAGTCGGTTTCAAAGTCTTAAGAAACATGGAGAAATGTTTACATTTATAATAAAACCCGATGAAATAGGAGAAAATATTATAAATTTGCAGTATTTTGAATATCTTAGAATTGACAATTTTAGTTTAGAAATGATTGATTTTAAAAGTTCAACATTATGGACGGACAAATTCAAGAAATTGCGGAACAATTTGGAAAATACAGAAGATAATCATTTTCTCATGATATCAATATGTTGGGCATCACTTCCTACGAGGTTTTCATCATTAAAAAAAATTGCCTTTGCCATTTTGTCCACATTCAGGTCCACTTACAAATGTGAGAAAATATTTTCACAAATGAAATTTATTTTAAGCAAAAACAGGAGCAGGTTAACTATTGAAAATTCAGATGCTTGTGTTTGACTTAAAATGACTATAAACCAGACTTGATTAAATTGACGTCACAAGTTCAACATCAGGGGAGCCATTGATATCGTTGGAGAAAATTTATAAATAAAGTTTATTCAACTATGTTTGTAATTATTTTCTTAATAAAATATATCTTATTATTTACTAAAATGCTATTTTAATACGAAAATATCTCTGAACGTCTCTTTAATACTCGCATTTTGGTTGATTTTGACCCGCGGCCAAAAAAGGTTGCCGACCCCTGATCTAGAGCTAACAAAACTTCTTTCAACAAAAGCGAGATAAAAAAAAAAAAGGAAACTGCTGTAAGGAAAAATCAAAGAGCTAATAAAATTACCCCGTACCTTCAGATAACCCCCAACTATTCCTTAATTGGTAACCAAACCCCCCACCCCAAAAAAAAAGCTGCAGAAAAACAGGATGGGAAACACAGCTGTGCACCCACCTTTCTGTTGTGAATGGGCTCGCCACAGAATACAGTTGTTGGTCTGGTGTTTCAATGATCCTATGCTGGGCACACTAGATGTTCGTTTTTCGATTCTAGGTTACATTTCAATGTAAAAATTTAAAACTGATATCGAATAAAAAGATCTGCATACAGACATAACATAGAATTTTTGTTTGTTTGTTTGTTCCTTTAATATTCTAAAAAATATCTGGAACATTTCTTTGAAAAATGATAATCTTTAAAAACTATACATGGCTGAAATGTAAATAGTGTTTTGTGTTGTGCAGCCATCTAGTATTAATAGAGAAGGTTAAAAGTGTTTTCCATTCAATTTTCCTGTGTGTACAGAGGTAGTTTTTTGAGTGTGCCCAGTGCCATAAAGGGTTGATTATATGTGTTCTTCAAGACGTTACAAAAGTATTTTAGGATATATATATATACAGCCTAGCCAGTAAAAGAACTAAATAACATGGGCAGTAATAATAAGGAGATACTATTAAAATTTATCTACAAAATTCCTTATATTAATATACCCCTTCTAATTACTCAATAGTTAATTTTCATTTATTTTGAAATTTTACTATTTATTTTTAAGAGCAATTTAAACTAGGTACTGTAGTATCAGTTCAATTTTTTATTTTGAATCAGTTATCTCTTACTGACAAATTTATCTTGTGTGTTGCCTTGTGAAAATTGTGTGTTATGTATCCATATGATTGGTAATTTTTAGATTTTTTTAATATCGTGGTAAAAGCTTAACTATCTACATTCAAGTAACCAGAAGCCTGAAGTAACTGGAATATTTCAGAATTTTAGGAAAAAAATTTCCCCAAAAAATTAAATAAATGAGGGATTTGTATCACTATTATAGAGTTTGTTATATTATTAGCACATAGACATTGTCATCAAATAGTGTGATTTAGCACCAAAATGAATCAACATGATTTCACAACATAATAATAAGAATTTTGTTTTGGTATTATGTAAACCCGATTAATTCTTGGAAAGTTAGTTTAATGTTTGTAAAGAAGGATACAAGTTCTGGTTTTTCATTGCATTTTGGGAAAATGATTATCCATATTTCCTGGTCCATGATTTTACTCCAAAATGTGCCCCAAAATCAGCCTGTGTCTTATGGGCCAGGGAATATTTTGTCATCCAAGATGCAAGCTGCTTCACCAGGAAAAATACTACAGCCAAAAGTCTGTAATCCGGACGTACATTATCTGGAATGATCTATAATCCAGACGTCAGAGCCATAAACTTTTTTTTGTATGCTTTACGCATGCGCGTAATGCGTTTACGCATGTGCGTTTAATGTATAATGGACGGTATAAGCTAGGCTTAAAATTATCGTTACTGATTCTAAGGCATTTTAGTTAATGTTGCAGATTGCGCTGTTCCTTAATCTTCTAATTTGATCCAGCTCATTATTTTTTGCAGACTGTTAGAGCAATTTTATAAAAAATTAAGCTTGAACTTTCGATTATGTCAAAAAGAGTTTCCAATTCTGGAGTGCAATTCTGGAAAAAATCCTAAGGATTACAGACTTTGTACTGTATTAAATATTTTTGCCATTATCGATAATATAGAGGTCACTGTGGAAATTTTAAATACGTTCAAATGGTAAACGGCAGAAAAAAATTAAGGGTTAGATTTGAAAATGTGAACCATTTTAGCCTAGCAGACGATTTTTCATTGACCGATGGATAATAGTTTAACATAGAATAAATTTTAGGCAGAAGGAAAAATGGAGTTGGCATGAGAACATTATCGCACTATGATTTTTTATGATTTTAAAGTGGGATTAAATCAAAAAGAATTTGTTCAGTGTCTACAATTAGCATTTGCAAATGAAGGTCCATCTCTGCTGCTGTATTCAGGTGGTTTACAGGATTTCACAAAGGTCGCAACTCTCTTAAGGATGAAGAATACTCAGAAAGGTTGCTGTCAGCAGTAATCCTGGATAATATGTCTGCCATACAGAAAATGTTAATCGATGATAATTGCTGCACCTACCAAATGATACAGAAGGAACTTAACTTTGGATCTTGCACCATACATAAAATTATTCCTGAAGAATTGCATATGAAAAAACTAGTTTTCCGTTAGGTTTCCCATAATTTAACTCAGCATCAAAAAGAGAAGCATGTCAGAATCAGTATAGGAACCCATAAATAACTTAAAGATGGTGATCACTGCATTATTTCTAGAATTGTAACTGGTGATGAAATGTACATAACATTTTTTGATATTCCAACACTTCAAGAAAGTAAAGTATGAGTCTCCAAAGATGATCCCATGCCTACAAAGATAAAAGAACCCATGAAAAAAGTAATGTATGCCATTTTCTTCAGAAGTACAGGACTGATCAAAGCCATCAAGCTGAGAGGGCGGAGTTTTGTTCTTGCATCTTCTTATTGAACGAAAACATAAAAGTGGTGGAATATCCGTCCTATTTACCTGATCTAGCTATGTGTGACTTTTGGCTATTTTTTAATTTAATAAAGGACTTGCATGGATGTCATTTTCATTCCAAAGATGAGGCTAATGAAGCTATAAATGCATTTTTTTCATTGGCTCCAAAACATGAATGGCTTGAGGCATTTAATTATTAGCAAAGTCACCTACAGAAGTGCATCAATGCTGGAGGAGACTACTTTGAACACTCCTAAAATTTCATAAGCATAACTTTAAAAACCTATGTGTATCTCAGAAATTTCAGCATGACCTTCATAACATTGTTTTGAACTAGTAGAAAGTTTTAATATTTCCTTGACAGTACTTCCTAAAAAACATTCCCAAATAAACTGTATACAGTGTAGTGTATGTAGACTATGCAGCATAATGTACTTTAATTTCATCTCACAATGTTAGATCACAGTGCTGAATAGGTTAGAAAATAACTTTCATAGCATTTATTTAGGGGTGATGCTACTTTCAAATGCATCTTTTTTTTAAATGGATGAAATTGTAAAAAGTTCTGGTTTAGTAATGTGCACATTAAATGTAAATTAATAAAAACAAATAGTACTACTTTTGCATGAAATAATGCCATGCAATACCTAGACATATTACAAATGACAGTGATGAATCAAGACATATACATAGATATATTAATGCCTTGTCAATACCTAGACATAGTACAAACCACAGTGACGAATCAAGTGAGCAGTACAGAAGCAGTTTCACTCTTTAAGCATGGTCTAGCTGGTCAGTGTTGACTAACTTGAAACTCTGATTGGTTCACTAAAATAATATTAGTGATTTAGCCAAGGCTAAAATGCGCAATTAAATATTTTAAGCATTCATTTTTTTCTTTTAATTCTTATTAAATATCTGAAAAGTTACTGCTGACATTCATTGTTTAACAAGGTTAAAAACTTCATAATTAATCTAAGAATTTCTTTCAAAATGTTATGAATAGGTTTAATCTTTTCCCTCAGTCTTACATCACTGAATTGAAAATCTTTTCTTTGAACTTTGATTTTGTTTTAAGCAGAATGAAGCAAAGTTGTTAAGTATTAATCATCGCTTAATCTTCATAAGTTCATCAAAGCATGTCTTACATATTTCAAACTGTTTAAATTGGGAACATAATTTGAAAAATCAATCTTGTATAATAACTAGGAATGTTAGGAGAGGCAAGAAAAAATACCTGATTATTATAACACTAAATAAAAGCAAACTAAATTAAAGTACTATAAATTATATACATAACACAGGAACTTTGTTGACAGTATATGACAAATTTTGTCACACGTATAAGCATTTAACTCAACTAGGATATCCTTTAAAAAATTATAATTTTAGGTACATAAATATTATTATGAAATTACTTTATGATAATTGTAAAGGTATTTTTTGCATGAGAAATTTTGACATGCTTTTTACAGTTTTTAGTTAATTACTATTTAAAACATTGCATCAAATAGTTTTTCATTTGTAATCTGAAGTATATAAATTATTAGGCTTATAAAAGTATTTCTGGTATTCTTATGAATTCAGTCTCAATAACAGAAGACACATGTGTATGTAAGTATGTGTGTATATGTGCATGTGCATACACACACACATACATGCATATATGAACACATACATCCATACATATATTCACGCATACATATATTCACGATTTCTGAATCTGGTTCCCCAATAACAGAAAAGTACCATATTTTTGTCACCCAGTGCGAAAGATCAGTATTTGAATGAGCTAATGCATCTGATACTCATTGCAAATTTTTATTCCAAATGTAATTTTAAAATCAATGTTTTGCAATAAATTTGATGCTCTTTTTTTTTTTTTTTTTTTTTTTTTTGTGTGTGTGTGTGTGTGTGTGTGTGTGTAGTATTGTAACATCAATAAAAGTGTTTTTTATTTCTTTATAGAATATTAGATATGTGTAAAATATATTTTTTAATGTTGTTCTAAGAATTTCAATTTAAATTAATTTATATTTAAGTTGAGATTAATTCTGGATCCTTTTTACATCTAGTGCCAACACGTCCAGAATTAACTGCACAGCTCATTCAAGAAGAACCAAGTCTTGTTGCTCAAGTGCAGTGGTCACGCCCCACTGATACTTATGGTCAACTTATGAGTTATAAGCTGCGTTATGGTCGATCAGATACACAGGAAATGATAGAGCGAGAGATAAATCCATCAGACCAAGTCCATCAGATACCTAATTTAGGTAATTTTTCATTATTTTTCATTTTAGAATTACTGGATTTCAAAATAATTAGCATTTGTCTAGGGGAAAAATATTAACATTTGACGTTTTTAAGGAGATTATATGGTATTTTATTATTTTGTTTAAATTGTTTTTATTTTTTCTTTCTTAAATCTAAGAAATATTACTAAATGATTTATTTTACTTTATTAATGTAGGGAACAAAATAGATGAAATATCTATCTCTGTTGCTAATGTTAGAATAAACTGAAATAGACTCCTGATTAAACAGCTTCTATGAGTTTGAATCTTAGGGCTTGTACTAACAGATTGAGCTGTGTCGTATTACCACAATTTGTTTTACTATACATTTGTTTACATTTAATATGTGCAGGCTTTTTTTCCCATCTGCCAGATACATGTTACAGTTTACTGGTTTTCTGCCACTTGGTAGGTACGATGCAATATATCATTAGACGTAAGATGCCTGAGATCTTGATGTGTTTGCTCAATTGCCATTCTGTAACGCAACTAACTTTTTATGGGATGTGCCACATGGTACAAATCATCACAACTGGAGATCAAACAGGGCTAGATAAATTAATGGCTATGTAATGCAAAATGCATATGAAATAATATTTATGCATTGTACATGAGGTTAAAAATGTACATATATATATGCATTCAATATAAACCTTTAATTTCAATTGTTAGCACATTCCAGTTCCTCTTGTTTGATTCATCATTTAAATTAAAGATATTAATTCATGATGCAGCTACAATACAAATGGCAGAGACAGGGAGCATTAACTGAAGCTCAGAAGATTTCAGAACTCTGATTAGGGCTTTGTTGTTAACACTAGATATATCAACAGTTAACATTTGCTTGTTTCTACCAAAGAATAAAACCCATCATTTTTATAGATTGATAGGAGGACTGGTATTAAACTTTATTTCTGAATGAAGTAATGCATTGTGTACAATGCACTGTCCTTTTTGTTAGGTTTAGAAATAGGAATCTGATTCATGGGAAATATTCTTGATGGGAATATGCACAATTAAAGTGAGACTGGATAAGAAGAAATATACTTGCATATGGTGAAAAAAATTAAATATATGTTATAATTGAAGTTCACTTGAAGACAATATCTTAATATTGTTTAAAAGAATCAGGTTATGATAAGAATCAGGTTATTTATCAAAACGACATGCATTTATATGTTTAAATATATGAATATAAGGTAAAATAAGCATTACAATAGATGTTTTACTGTCAAACTGTATTTGTATGTTTCCAGCTACAAAAAATGTATATGTAGTATGAGTAATTATATTTACATTCTTTTAGATCATTTTTATCAATATTATCATATTATTCATTCAAGAAATTATAATTATAAGGCTTTTTCCCTGAAATCTAATTTTTTATAAGTAGATTGAAACTTTAATTATTAAAATATTCATTATGCTAGGCAAAAATTAATAAGCTAGTCAAAAATGTTGAATACCTTTGTGTGCAAAACTGAAGTTTTTGAAAGAATTTTTTGTCTTAGATGATGTTTTAGTACTTATCGACAAAAGAAATTCAAAACCACATGCAACATCCAAAATTAGGGAGCTATTACAAAGCAAAATTTACTCATTTTGATAATTATCACTTCAGTGTTGGATTAAACAGCGCTTGGTATTAATTTTGCAGCTGACCATATGAAATTATAAATTGCTGATAGTTCCAAAAATTGTACATGTAAAGGTATGCTTCACTTTGCAATAGTTATAGTAATTGGGTATTTTGCTCTGTGAAAAACACAGATAAAAGTTAGATTTTGTACGTACAGACTCTAATTATCCTCAGTACTAAAGCTGTTTCCCTAAAATTATCTACCTTTGAAAACATTTACAAGTACATATGTATGATCAAAGGAAGCAAAGATCAGACCATCTTTTTTGAATATTTCATATATATACGTACATAAATATATATGTATAGAGGATACGTACAAGTATCTAGGTGTTGTGAAGGAAGGAATTATTTACAATTCAGCAACATAATGTGCAAAAGTTAATTGTACCTGTTCTGCACTTATTATTTTATGAGAAAAGTTATAAAACAGATGAAATAGAATATTTACAAATCAAATAGAAAAGTAATGCAAGTTTATACCACTTCGTTTCTGAAGCTTTCATTTCCGATTATTGTGAGGAAACTTCATTTGCTTTCTGGCCCTAAATGCTTCTATTTATGTTCCATGATCCATAGATTAACTGTAATTTTAAATTATTCTTTTTTTTTTTTTTTTTAATAGTATTGCATTTCTTTGTTTCAGAACGAGGAGCTCGTTATGAATTTTATTTATCAGGAAAAAATGGTCGTGGATGGGGTCAAGAAGCTTATGCATACCTGGATACTCCAGAAGGAGGTAAGGTATTTTATTTAAATTTTGTCCCAAGACATTTTTACTGTTCCATGAAGCTGAAACTAGTGTTATTAATATTTTATGTTAATTTTAAAATGCATATTTTTTATTATATTAAACAACAAAATATACCTGCTACCATAGCCTGAGTAAATATAAATCCTTCTGCGTTTATTTGTTACAGATTTTTTTTAAAGGAATAGATGAAACATAACTTGAACTATTACTTCTTTAAATAAATTCTTATCTTTTGTAAAAAGTTTGTATCACCTGTATTATTTATACCTGTATTTTCTATATTCTTTGAATATTTGCATACAAATTCATGTAGTTATAGTATTTGGTTCATAATATTTGTACATATTATAGTACCTATTTATTTCTGAACTGAAGGTGAAGTTGACCTTAAGGATTTAAAGAAAGTTGAAACAAATAAGTGAAAATAGTACTATCATTTATTTTATTACAGAGATGATAAAATTTTTATTTTGAAAAATCTTCAAATCCAAATTCATTATGTTTGGTCATTACAGTGTTTCATTTTACAAGGCAAAAAATAAAATGTAAATTTTTTGCAGACTTTCCTTACTCTCTATGTCTCAGTGATATAAAAGATATATATGCCAAATTTCAGGATGATTGGATAATATTTAGAGGTTTCATACTTTGATCAGTTTTGTAAAAGTAGGCAAAAAATGTGATTTTACAATGTTAATTACTTTTATACTCCTTGAGTCTCAATGATATAAAAGGTATGTATTCCAAATTTCAAGAAGATAGGTACTTTGTTCAGTTTTTGTAAAAGGAGGCAGAAAATATGATTTTTTAATGTTAATTACTTTTATTAGGCAAAGGTATGGCAAGGTTTGTTGGTAGGATTGGCAGAACATGTGTTATATTAATCAACTCTAAATGATGCAATCCTTTCTTTTGTTCACTTGGCGAAAACTTTTCTGTAATGCTCAACTACCCTTAACAAGAATTCTTTTTTGTTATTTGTCTCTGACTGATTTGTTAAACTTTTTTATCAGAACAATTCATATTTCTGTGGTATCATTGACCTTAACAGCATATACATGGCTTTTTAAAGAATCACTGCAGTATTCTATCATGTCATGAATCCCAACAATTCAGAGAACATCATTGTTTTGTTAGTAATAAAATGGCTTAGGTCTTTTCCTTAAAAAATTAGTTTTTACCCTCTAATTGTTTCATTTCCTTTTCCTTTGCAGGTTTGATTTTTAAATTTTTAGTCATATTTTTCTTATTACTGTAAGTAATATTTTCATCCAAAAATGCCAATCCTATGTTTGACAGATACCAAAGGTATCTCTTAGTAACTGTGAGAGCACTTTTTTGACATCAGTATATGGGTAAGTGCTCTGAAGCTGTAGCATAATCCAAATCATTCTTTAGAGCCCATCGACTTACGGTTACCTCATACCAAAAGAGAACATATATAAAGCTGACAAAATCTGCAACCTGTTTTATTCCTTTCAATTTTATTGAGGAATATTCGATTGTTTAGTGAAGAGGACAGTTTTAAGTGCATATATTGACTTTGTCATCCAACTTACTTGTTGTAGAGCCCTTGGGACCCTGAAACTGAAGTTGTTTTGAGACCAACCTCCTAGGTACAGGAGTGAGAGTTGTGGTAACTGTTTCTAGTCTTCTCTTAGATGACTTCTGTCTTTTAAGATATTTTAGATGTAGTTAATCATTTTCATTCATTGTTGTCCTAGAAAGCCTTGAATCTTTTTGTATCCAGCATTGTTATGATGTATCAAGTGAAGCGTGCAGACTTTGAAACTTCTGAAAAGTATACTTATCAACATTTATTATCCCAATGCAGCACCAAATGAGGAGGATTTTTAAAAAGTGATGCTTCGATTTTCTTTGCCATTTTAATGCTATAGATGCCTGAGCTTGGTAAACAGCAGCTGGAGATACAGGAATTTTTTAAACATTGTGGCCAGGGAAAGAAATACATAGGGAAGCCAATTAGTACAAAAGCACTTCAGTATTAGAAATTTCACTAGTTTGAGATAAGAGAGATTAATTTGTGAAACCTCTAAATATTATCCAATCTTTTTTTAAATTTAGCATACATATTTTTAACATCACTGAGACATAAGCAAAGTAATGAAAAATCACACTTTTGGGAAAATGAAACACCCTACTGGTTATGTTTGGATAATTTGTCTGATTATGTAATTGATAACAAATATATAATAGAAAATATGTTAATTGATAGAGGTGGTACAAATATTGGATACATAGCATTTTTTACTCTTTTAATGAGTTTCATTAGATATCTTAACTATGTTTTTTCTAAGATCTACCCCTGCCCCATAATGACTTCTAGACTTTTTTTTAAACATAAAATAAATGATGTAAGACATACAGTAAATTCAGCTAAAAAACTATAATCATTTTAGGTTAAATTATTTCTAATTAAGCCCTCAAGTTTATGCTGTAATTAGCTCGATTTCTTCTTCTTCTGAGGCACTACAGCCTACTACTGGCCAAGGCCATCTCAATTAGTCTACACCATCTGGACAGCTTGATTGCTACATACCTAATAATAGAAAAAATTTTCTGTATGCCCTTTCTTCTTTCTTCGTAGGGTATTCAGTTAAATTCAAAATCAGCAAAAACTATATCCATAAAAAATTACATCTTTTGTGGAAAATGTTTAATATCAAAAACCGAAATTATTGATTATTGTCTTTTAATAAACTGATTATGTAAAAAAATACCAGTTTATTGAGACTTAATAATAACTGAAATGAAATTTTTCATTCAGATACATAATTCTGTATTTAATTAATGTGAAAGCTTTTTTTTTTAACTGCATGAAAAAATTGCATTTGAAAATAAATTTGCTGTTTCTCAGTATGTTTTTATTCTGAATGTAAAGAAAATTATACTCATGGACTGAATGAATTATTGGTATTAAGTTCTTTAATTTTATTGGTTTTAATGTTTTTTCATATGGCATAATTTTGTTTTTTCTCCTGTTTGTCTTTAGTGCCTACTGCACCTCCACAAAACTTGTCTCGTCGTCTGCAAAGCCCTACAGGAGTTGTAATCACTTGGAACCCTCCCCCACCTCAATTTAGAAATGGTCGAATAACCCAGTACAGTATAAAATTTCATAAGACATCTGATGGCTCAGTTATTGAAAAGACTACAAATGAAACTCGGATGGTGTTCAGGTACTTTGCCTTAAAGACAATTGCTATATTAAGCACAGTATTTTTCATGTCATTCGTAATGTTATCACTTGCTTCAAGTAGCATAAGCTGATTTTAATTGTCATGATTACTGATAAACAAACTTTAATCTATTTAAAAATTAGGCTTAACTGCACTTAAAAAAGCTTTTAAATTGTTTATAATTGTACAAATATTGCTTTCAGATTTCCTAAAGGCATAAAAATCATAACCAGAAGATAAGAACAACATAATTCAATCATTTTAAAGCAAAAAATACACAATTTACAAACATATAAGAGTAAAGAAACTGAGATCACTGAGCCGGGTAACAGAGTGGATATATATATAAATATATTTATATATGTTTGGTGCGGCTGATTGTAACCAAAATACGAGGTGCACATCTATCATGTGGAGTGCACCTCGTATTTTGTTGAAATTTTGTATATAGCAGTCCTATATACAAAATTTCAACAGTCTGAGGCTACTTGTTTTAGAGTTATGCAAGATACATACATACAGACGCCATGAAAAATTCTCTTTAGAATTCATTTTAAAGCTGTTTTATAAATTTTTTGGAGGAAAAGAGTCTTTTATTCTGTCCTTACATACAGATGTCATGCAAAAATATTGTTAAATTGCATTCGATAGTGGTCAAAATGGATATTTTCGCTGAAATATGCTGCCTCAAAATTTTCACGATTGCAATACTTCCTTTTTACTTCGTACAAGGAAGTAAAAATAATAAACACATGATGAGTTTCAATTAATTATGCAATAACAAGAGAATATATTTGGAAATTGTTATGAACTTTTTTGCAGTGCTTTTGCAATTATTTGAAAGTATTGGCTTATTTCTAAATTCTAAGATAAAAGTTATTTAATTAAACAAATCATAAATGTTTATGGTTAGTTTTGATTAAATTAATAGTATCTAGTAAATATGCTATGTTTTCCTTACCTGGCCTGGCACTGTTGATCTATTTACAACTACTAGTTTAAAAACATGGGGAAAATTTAAGGGTATCTTTTATACTGTAAAAAGATGCATTCCCATGAGAAAATGCATTCATTAAGAAATAATGCTACTTTCATCACTTAATGTAAAGGCCGCAATGAAATTTCTTCTGCTGAAGATTGAGCCATACAGAAATGAGATGCCATCCTGGCAAGTGATATCTGTGTATCTTGAGGTGGAAATTGCAGGAAGAAGAGTACAAAATTAAAACTGCCACTAAAGGAAAATAGAGAAAACAGAAAGATGCATATAATTTGCTAAGATTCAGCTAATTAAAATGCCTAAAAATTTTTTATTAAAATTCATAATATTATTTAACTATTAGAGGTAGCAAAACAGAGTTGTCATTGGCAATAATTTGACTGTTCTCTGGATAAATTACAACAGCCAGTGTCTAAGAGTTATAGTCATAATATGTAATCTTCTTCTATCTCAAAATTTTATTATCATCTCTTCATTCTAATGATTATTCAAGACAAAATAAAATCACTTCTTGTGGAATCTCTTTGAGTAAGAAAAAAGTATACTTTATCAAATAGAAGAGAGTATAAACTAAGTTAATTTGCTTGATTAAAGTTCAAGTATGAATGTGTATGACATTCACAATTCTTTTCATCATTTTATTTTATCTATATTTTATTTTGTATGAGTGTCAAAGTAATTGTCTTCCCCTGTGTGAAGATATCTGTTCATTTTGTGCTTGAAAAACCTTAAACGCAATGCAATTTTTTTTTTTTTTTTTTAATTTAATTTTAGTAGTTTGGATGAAAACACTGAATACAGTTTCCAAGTCTGTGCTCACACCTCAAAAGGTCCTGGTCCATGGAGCCCTAGAATGACTGTTCAAACTCCTGGAGATGTGCCTCCTGCTCCAACTAATGTTCAAGCTGTAGCTACATCTGATCAGTCGGTGGAAGTATGGTGGGACCAAGTGCCATATTTTCTAGATATTCTTGGATATGAGGTATAATTGTTTATCTAATAGGAATAAACTGCTATAATTCTACTTTAGAGACTTGTCAGGTGAATACTGAAAAATATTTCAACGCAATTGTGCGTATACTTTATCTAGAAAGAATATAGTAGCAAGGTAAAACCTTAATGTTTGTTATTACTAAAATCCAGATTTAATTACTTACTGTAAAAAGTTTCTTGATACATTTCTTTGGACAACAGCATACATTCAGCTGTCCATGAGAGAGGGGATGTCAAAATTTTTAATTCTGAAGAAAGGGAATCTGTGCCATTGCCCATTAAACTGCATTATCTTTTTCTTGCTATCCATAATAATATAAATTTAGTTTTTCCATTTATTACAATCAATTATTATGCTTATATTAATTCTATTTATTTCATTTGTTATAATTTTGTCTGTTAGATTTAGATCTAACTGAGAACAGGTCTACAAACTGTTTCATGGAACTTTAGGGATTCTGCAAGTCAAAATCAGATTTCAAGAGAAATTTTGATCATCATATGGAAAACATTTTTATTGTTATCTAAGATAATATGAAATAACTATTTCTGTAACTAAAAATATAAATTAAATGTTTTTTTTTCCATAAAATACAAGTAACAAGCATATATTTTTAATGCTGTTTAAAAATTAATTTTTCTCTGGATAGTGGTGATTGCACACACACAAATATATATAGTCAGAGGTTCCTCAAAAAATCATAATTTTAGAAATTTTGCAAAAATTATAGTTTATGAGTTCCACAAAAATAGTTCTATTAAAATTTATAATGAGGGTTCAAGGAAAATTATGTGTTTAGATGTTTCACAAAAATTATAGTTTTAGATGTTCCCAAAAGGCTGTAGTTTTAGGAATTAAAAAAAAAAAAAAAAAAAAAAAAAAAAAAAAAAAAAAAAAAAGTTATGGTTCTAGATTTTCCACTAAATATTATTTTAGTGTTTCCATGAAATCTTTAGTTTTAGGAGTTCCACAAAAGAAAATTAATAATTTGAAGTGTTTTCATATTCAACAAAGTTTGAAGATCACAGATTTAAATTAATCATGTTTATTTCTTTAAAGCTATTTACTTAGTCTTTATTTACTTAGGTTCTAGATTTTCCACTAAATATTATTTTAGTGTTTCCATGAAATCTTTAGTTTTAGGAGTTCCACAAAAGAAAATTAATAATTTGAAGTGTTTTCATATTCAACAAAGTTTGAAGATCACAGATTTAAATTAATCATGTTTATTTCTTTAAAGCTATTTACTTAGTCTTTAATAAATTCATATTGTTCTCCTTGTCAGATTAATTTCTCGAAGAACTTTAAATCTGAAAACTTCAAATTAATATGCAATGGAGATAAAACTTTTGCAAATATTTGTACATTTCCCATTTTTATTACACAATAATTCAAACTGCAAAATATTGCTTTGTTTCAAAATGTAATTTTTTGCATAGATATAATTCATATATATATGTGTGTGTGTAAATAATTTCCTGTCTTTTTGATTGCTAACTCTTTCCATTTTAAAGGTTTTATACATCCAAAGTCCTGTTGAAGATTTGGATCAGTGGAGTAATAAAAGTGTTCCATTGACATGGTCAGCAGAATTGACTGGTCTAGATAGTCATGCAATGTATGCTATTCGAGTAGCCGCCAGGACACGCCAAGACTTAGGTCGCTTGTCTGAATTAATTACAGTTCGAGTAGCTCCTACAGGTCAGTTATCAATATATGAGCTTGAAACTGTCTAGAAATTTGTATATTTGGTTATCTAGCTGATTCGGTATTGTAATGAATGATTTTGAAATTCAAAACTTTGTAATCTGAGACTTACAAGTTAAGAAAATAGTAAAAATTAGGCACATATTCAAGGCCATCAAAATACATGGTCTTGTTGGGCACTTGTCAGGGGTTCAATAAACAGAGGGAGCCCTCCAGACATTGATCTATTTCTATGAGTAGTTGTCATAAGGGCTGCAATGCCCTGGTTTGCTTAATGACCCATAATTCTGTTAAAAGGGAAGTGCACATATTACTAAATACATTATGAGACATTAAAATTTTGATAACGTATTATATTTTGTATTTTCTGATTTTAATCATTTTCTTCCTAAAAGAATTAAAGACTAGAGTTTAAGGCAAAAATGGTTAATTAACCATTTTATTGATAGAATTACTATGTATCAGAACATTTCAAATCAGAAAAATTTAATGAATTATTCGTGAATTTTGAATTAGAATTTAAAACTCATGAAATTATTTGAAAAACAAGAATTATAAGAGTGATTTTAATAAGAAAAACTAATGGAATTGTTTATAAATTTTATTTAGAATTTGAAACTCTTTTTTTTTTTTTTTTTTTTTTTTTGTTGTTGTTGTTGATGATGATTATGTAATAAAATTAATAGCATGGCTAAAAAATTATTCTTCTCATTTACATTGTTAGTCCTTTTAAGCAGTAAATTTTTGTCTTCCCTTTACTTCAGTAGAGAGTATTATGCTTGCTGAGTTTCCAGTATTTCTTTGTCAAAAGATGGTAATCTTCTGGGCAAGTCTGTTGCTGTCTTTAGCTTGTAGAATGATATTTCTATTGATCACGCTTAATCATATTTAGTACATATTTCTATAAGTGGTACTTGAATGTATAATAAATAAAAGCTTTGCTGTAGAACTTATATGTTCATTATCTGGCTAACGGTTTCTAAAATTTCAACACATTTGCAACTTTAACCTTGAACATTATAACTGCTCTTTCATTGAAATGTTAGTAATTCACTAACAGAGTCAAAGAATGCAGCGAGTAAGACAAAATATTGTTTTTGCTAATCCGATGTCAGAGTTCACAGTGGTCTCATAATTGTCGTGATTGAATTGAAAGGTGTACCTGTTGGTTATACATATAGGTCTTTGCATATTAGAGTTGACCATATAGTTTAGCCTCATTTCATTCTACTTTTTTTAAGAATACCCTACAGTAATCTTAAAATCTCGTGCAGTCCTTTGTCTTTAAGGTCAACTAATCAAAGTCAACAAATTTTAAGCTCCTGGCTCCATAAAGACACTGCAGCAGGAAACATCTATGTGTTACTTTATATTTGAAGTGTAAATCCATAAGTTTGGTAGGTCTCCAAGGTGTCAGCACATTGTAAGAATTATGTTAATTTTATTAACAGTTAAATTTTGAGTTAAACTCTCTTTCCTATTGCTTCTTAATTTAAACTTACCACTTCTGGCCATAGTTTTAGAATCACGTCTGAATGCTAATGAGGAAGAGTGGTATTTAACCGCGAAGTTCTACTCTCTTAGAGAGAGCGATACTAGATATTCTGGCTGCATGCATCCGCCTTTTTAGGCTACTCTCTCATAACCTATTATTACACTCGGCCGTACTTTAGGTCCTTGATAGCTTCGCAGTCAATTAGCGTTAAGGGGCCACCTCTGTTAGAATTTTGATAGCCTCAGCTATATCTAGTTAAGATTAGTTTAGTTTAATTCTTAGTTTCTTAAAGTGTCGGCTTTATTGTACAGCTCCAAGACGCAGTTCTGTTAAATCTTATTTGAATAATAAAGGGTCTTTTAACCATTTTCAAGTTTATTCATTGTCTCACGAACTCAAGTGGTTATTCACTTACTAGTTCTTAAGATTCTTCACTTTTAGCTGTAACTTAGAATTACACAGTGGAGAATCCTACAATGTAATTTTTATTACGTGCTATGTCAGCACATAATTTTTTAAAATTACATGTTATCTTTTTTAATTTAATATCTGACATACACAAACTGCTGCTTACTTGTGAGAAAGCAGTCATGGCCATAGTTTTAGAATCTTTATTATTTTATACTGTCTGTCTGAAGTGAAACTTGTGTCCATGAATATTAAGGTCATCTCTAACCATGGCACCTCTGTTTACATTATGTGTGGGTTTTCAAGAAAGCTTAGCATATGGAGTTTTAATCAGCACCAGTATAATTATATTTGATATCTGATTTCTAAACTATTTTAATGTTTGAAGTTTTGAAGTAAATGAATTTGCTTATCTTATCGATTTTAAATTTTTAATGTTCAATAACTGATACTTGCTATTTTCCATAGTGAATTTTATTCTTATATAACTTGTAACTGGTCTCAAATTTTACTTGCTTATGCTAAATTCCTTTATTTGCTTTAATATTATACTTTAATTTAATTTTTTAAATGCGTAGATGTTCCAACTCAACTCAGAGCCCAAGATGTGACAACTCACAGTATGTCTCTGTCATGGCGTAGACCATCGAAACTTGATCCTATAAAGTATAAGGTAATTAATCATGTATTTTATAACTTGTAAGTTAGGAAATTATTTGAGTAAATAAATCCTTTTTCATAACTAATCAGTTCATTGTACAATGAACTTCAGTTTAAATATTTGATATATTACTTCTTCTTTCTTAAAGATATATATGAATTAGTTGCTTAGTTTTTTTTAATTTTTACATCTTTCAGTAATATTATCATATAGTATTTAAATTATCGGCATATTTAAAATAAGTATTAAATACATATGTTTAATGCAAATACATTGTCTATTGAAAAGTGTTATTTATCAGTGTGATATATGTTTATTTAAAATTTTAAATTAGGTAAAGTTCTGCTGTAAACTCATTCTGATTTTATAAAGTTATGCTCATTTTAGGGGAATCCTCTTCAGGTACTAATAAAATAATATGTGATCAGATGTTTTGCTGCTTGAAGAAGAATATATATCAGATTTCCAGGAAATATATTCAATTTTCTTATGAAACCTATTTCAATCTAAGCTCGAATTTTCTGTAATCTGATGTATAGAAAATAAGTTTAAAAGCTCGTGTGATATGGGTTGTATTTATACAAAAACTGTATAGCTTATTAAAATTCATTATACTCATAATAAATGAAAATGTATTAGAATTTAAATGTTTCCATTTATTTCACCCATTATTTTTATAATATTTCAGCAAGAATGCTGTATTGTTAAAAAAAAAAATTATTTTGTCTGGCCGAGATCAGTTGTCTTATTATTACGTTTTTATTTTTTTAAGCTTTTGCATTTATTTTTCGCTATTTATCCTAGTTTTTTTATTGTTGTTGTTGTTGTTGTTTTCCTCTTAATGAATACAGGGGAACATAGAATTGCATTTTGCCAATAATGCTGTCACAGGATTTGTAATTTAGTGGAAGGTCAATAATTAATTTTTAATTTACAGATATCATATGGAGCCCACAAAGAATTTTATGACAGCCAGGGAAATCTTCAAAAGCTTCCTATTCCTACTCATACAGTATTTGTTGAAGCAGATGTCACAGAATATTCGGTAGATAATCTGATGCCTTTTACTAGCTATCAAGTGAATATCACTGCGATTCCTATGGATGAAACCTTCAGACCTCCTGCAAAAATAACTGTGACCACTGCTATGGCTGGTATGCAGAATAAATGTTGTTATATATACTTCTTATTATGATACTTGTTTCTGTTATTTTGATCATATTAAGAAATCATTCTATAAGTCATAAACTGTAAACTTTTGATATCTCAGAGTCATTGCAAATCTAGGTTCTTGTATACCAAAAACAAAAAATGTGTTGCATTACGTAGAGGAGTAATACTATTTCCATCAACCTTTATATTACTTCCCACTTGAGGACAAGTTTATGTTTAGAGAACATCAGCAGAACCTAATGATCCAGACTATCAACTTTCTGCAGTTGTTGTTGATTAATGCTCATTTGTCCGATCTATAGTCAACATAAGCGAATTAAATTCCTTGTGGCAAGGAGCACAAAATACACTTGTTGTTGGCAACAGCCTTGAGCACCTTACAAGTGACAGTGCGATTTAGCTCTGTTCTCCCCCCTCCCCAATTTTGATGGAAAGCTCACCGGGGAATAGGTCTGGGGGTCTCCCACCTCTCTTCCCTTACCACCAACCTCTCGAGAGGACTTTTGGCTTGCTGCATATTTAAAGTGCCCCCATCCCACACAGACACTATACATTTACAAACATCCATGCCTTCTACTGGATTCAAACTCAGGCCCTTCAGCACAGCAGTCAGCAATGTTATAATAGTTGGGCGGCCTTTCTGCAGTAAAAAATGGTAGCTATTTAATTATTCTTTGGGTAGTTATGTTATGATATGTAGCAGGTCTACCTATCTTTTTATAAGAAAAATAAATATCATTGACTATATATTCATTTTAAATCACTGTATGCATTCAAACAGCACAGACAGTCTTTCTTTTGGGTAATTACATCTTCTAAAATAGTAATACTCCCATTTACTGAAATCAGATTGTACTGTCGTAATTCAAAGAACCTGAAGATAAAATTATGTTTGTTTCCTGGCTGCATGACCATCAGATTTAAATACTATTGAACCATCTTAATGACTATTAAGTTATTTAAAACTGTTACTCCCTCAACATCCTTTAATGAGCTGGAGCTGATTCTGATAGAAGAATGGTATTGTTACAAAATGCCCATCTGCAGTAAGATAGCTTCCAAACAAAGTGGGGTTAGGGTTGCCACAAAGTGACAAGGAAATGCAGGGTTGTCAGATTTGGTGACAAAATTGGCAATATGCCATAGTTGGAGTGAGAACATTCTACAACAAATTCGTACTGTTTCTCTCGAGAATAGTCTCAAAGGCAGGTCAAAAATTATAAATACCCTGCATGTACGCAATATTGCAATTAGTATAATGAGTTAATTAGTAGTGTATTGAGTTCTGAGAGCAATCAAGAGCTGTTCTTCATGGCAAGTTGTCTTCACTCTTTAACCTGAAGGCTGTGTTGCTGATTGTTTCATTTTGTCATAGTTTTTTGACGATTGTAATGCGTCTTTGGAACTTTCCTGTGTAATACTGATGAATAAATTATGTTTTTATTCTTTATCAAGTGTTGCCATCAATCACTCGAAATCCACAAACCCAAACACTATATCATATAATACTATATCACTATCTTTTAGGCAACCACTATATCATAATGGAAACATATAAATAAAAATTTGTTTAAGTTATATGACAAAATTATTATTTCTATAAAACTAATTAGCACTAATTAATATTATAATAAGATACCATATTTAAGAACCAAGTAATACTAACTAAAAAATCATATTTTTTTATGTAAAACTAGTTTTACACCATCGTGACTAATTGTATATTATATCAAACTAGTTAAAATGCATATTATGTAAAATTTTTCTTTTTAATATTTGAAAAGTTATTAAACTAATGGGTGAGCAATTTTGCACTCAGAACAGCTATTTGGCATTTTTTGAAGAATTTGTAATTAATCTTTTTTTTTTTTTTTTTTTTTTTAATGCTTAATATATTATCTCAGTTCTTCTTCCACAATCAATGTATTGTTAACTTGTCCTTCAACTTCCTTCTTTACAACAGAATTTTAAAATTTCTTTCAGAACAATAAATTATTATATGTGGAAAAATATTTAGTTGTTCTTAGGACTGACAAAATAAACTCACATGGTAGTTCTTTTAATATATATATATATGGCTATATTTTAAAATATTTTTCTTTGTTATTTAGCACCAAAACCTATGGTTAAACCTGATTCATTTGGAGTAAAAAATGGGTGGGAAATTACTGTGATATTGCCTAAAGCATCAGAAGAGTATGGTCCTATTAGTCATTATTTCTTAGTTGTCGTACCAACTGAAGAAGCTGTTAAGGATCCTGGAGAATTTACTATTGATGAGGTTTGTTTTTGTGTGCTCTAGAAATTTGATGAATGTGCCTTAGAAAATCAAACTTAGTCATGACATTTTCTTAACATAATTTTCTTTTCTTTCTGCAAAATGGCATGGAAATTCGCAATTGATAGCAATAGATATGAATAAAAAATTGATGTGCCATATAAAAAATAGTTTGTGTATTCAGTATTCTTCTTAATATTTATGTATTTATTGAATTTTTATTTATTTTAATTAACATTAGCAGCAGTGCAAAAAAATCATGGCTTTCAATAAAATAAATAAATAGATACAGTCAGAAGTTTTTAATCCGGACTTGTCGGGACTTTGGCGATTCCGGATTATCTGGATAGATCATCAGTTTAACTCTGGTAAGATGGCATGCAGAAATTATAAAATTAAAAATATGAAACCGTAATTTATGAAATAAAGAGCAATTATAATCTAAAGGGTATCAAAATTTACAAAAAAAAAGCTTAATATTTATTTATTTACTTTATCAAACATTTCTTTCACCACGTGCATGCGTAAAGCGTACGTTACGCATAGTCGAAATTAGAAAATTGCAACCAGAAAACTATTTGATGTGTATTCGTGATATTTATAATGATGAGAAATTTGATTTAAATCAAAGACGGAGTACATCGAGATGAAATACTACATTTAGTAAGGAATTATAAGCCGAATAAAATAAAAACATCTGCGCTGAAGATAAGGATAGTGCTCACAGATCAACTTCCAGTTCATTGCGCTCCATGACCGCCCCCCCCCTCCCCGCAGAGCAGCATCAAATTGATAAACAGATTTCAGAATGGTTAGAGAAACAAAGGATATGCCTTTATCCATTTTTTGCAGCAATTCCACTTTTTGTTTGATTTACATCGAAACATGCTTTTGCTTTGTAGATCCTGTGGCAGCTCCAGAATCAGGAATTCTTTTTGACATAATCGAAAGTTCAAGCTTACTTTTATAAAACTGCCCTAACCGTCTTCAAAATAATAAGCCGGATCCAATTAGAAGATTAAGGAACAATGCAATCTGCAACATTAACTGAAATAGATAATTAGATAATTTTACCATCCGTTATACATTAAACGTGCATGCGTGAGCACATATGCATATGGGTAAAGGTATGCGCATGCGTAGACGCATTTTTCGTTTACGCGTGCGCAGAAAGTTTGTAGCTTTGAGGTCCGGATTAAAGAATTTTGACTGTAACTGAATGCTTAATGCTATTATTATGTAAAGAATAATGTGAAGCATGTTATCTTCACCAAACATTTCCAATTTCCAAAAACATATTCTATTGTCTGGAAAAGGCTTTGAGACACTCTAAAGCCTTCCACTGCTATTGGTTGTACCTGTCTATTCACGTTACTAATTCAGGTGTCAAATTATTGAAACACTGCTACAAGCTATCAATGCATGTAACCTAAAGAATTCATTGCCTGCATAAAGAATTCTGGGGATCTTATATAAAGTAATTTTTTTACCAGACTTCCAACATCATAAACAAAATATTACAAATGTAACTTTTACTCATCACAAACAGAATTTGTGTATTCTGACTTTTATAAACAAAATAATTTTCCTTTAAAATTCGCAATTTTTTTTCTTTTTTTTTTTTTTTTTTTTTTTAAAGGAAGAAAATAGTTATATTCTTCTTAGTAGTTATATGCTTCTTTCGTATTGAACTCACTATGTCCTCGAATTATTTAGTAATTTTAATGAATTAGTATTTTAGTAGAGATACGTCTGGAATAAAATCACTTTGACTTTCTGGTTCTTGATATTCTTTTGTTAATTAGTTTTAATTGCATTATATTAATTTACTTTCTTGTACATTCTAGCTTTCTTCTACACCATCAGAACAAATAGGCCCGTATATTGCAGCAAAATTTTTACATCGTTCAATGCCCGAAATATTTCCTTTGGGTGATGGCAAAATGTATGGAGGTTTTCTGAACCGTAGGCTCCATCATGATCAAAAATACAGCATATTTGTCAGAGCAGTTGTCGATACGCCACAAAAGGTAGGAATTTATATTTTTATTAAGAGTTGAATTAACTTTTTCTTGATATAATTTAAGTTATATATGGTAATATTGAAAAAGTATGCACAGACATTAGAAGATTAAATTGCTTCAGAAAGAAGATAAAATGTTACCCTTTTTTTTTTTTTTTTTTTTTTTTTTTTTTTTTTTTTTTTTTTTTAATCCTGTGCGATATTATATTTTATAAATGTATCATATGTATGCATGTATACAAATATTTTTTTTTACCCCAAAAAAAGTTTTTGAAATTAAAGCTAAAAATATTTATATTTATATTTAGTATAAAATAAAATATTTAGCTTGAATTGGTTGCTGAGAGGGTTTATATTCTCTGATTCAAAATGGAAAGATAAATGTGATTTTCTCTTTTTAAATACATATGTAGATCCAAAAGTTCCTGTCTCTATGTTTAAAATAATTGTTAGGCAATACTAAATGAATAATTTTAAATGTTTAGTTAGAGGAACCGCTTGCAGGTTTCCCCCCCCCCTTCTTCTTGTATTTATTTACTGAATGAATTGATGTTGGTCTTGTTCTGAAAAGTTTAAATTTGAGTATCATTCCATGACTAAATTTTTGAATAAAGATTTTAATCCCAAAGAAATAAAGCAATGCTTGGATCATGTAGTTGGTGTTTCATCTCCATTCTATTCAACAGTGACAGAATTGATGAAACAGTTTTACATATGCTGAGGATCCATTGAAGATAATTCATGATGGTCGGTCATTGGATGCATTGGCATCAGAAAATATTCGCATCCAGGATGAAATATCGAGTGGTAGAAGAATAAAAATCTAGGAGATGGCAGCAAGTTTGATTCTATCTAAAACAACTGTTTTGCCCTTTTTACACAAAGTCTCTGTGGATGATACTCTGTCTTATTTCAGAAATTCAAAAACAGGGCGGTGAGTTTAAGGGGACTGATCTTAAGCCCTGATTTAATTCCAAGTAATTATTATCTGTTCCCCAAATTAAATTTAATTTGACCTTAATAGAAAAGTGATTTAATGATGATAATGACTTAAAAAAAAAACATTTTGGAATATTTTGAGTGCAAACCTTAAGATTACTTTTTCAAGGGTGTAGAGTTCCACTTTAAATTATGTGAAATGTGTGTAAGTACAAGAGGTCATGTTGAAAAATAAACTTTTAAAACTTTTTTCTGTTTCATTTAAAAGTACATTAGACTAGAAACTTTTGGCTGTATATGTGTGTCTCTGTATTTTATTATATTTGTAATTTTTATGTCAGCGTTAGTGTTACATAATGCAAAATTACTTTCATAATTCCGTATTTCTTAATGACAATGTTGTCATAGTGAACGATTATTCTAACTAGTAAGTTAGCATTTCACATTAAATAAAATATTGTGATAAACCTTTCCTTTTACAGAGTGCACTAAATATTTTTAAACTTGTAAAAACTGTATATAACAACAGGCTACATTTATGTTAGTGTTTTCTGTAATGTTTTGTTCAAAAAGTTTTGAGTTTATGGAATATATTATTTGGCAATTGTTATCTTTCCGGTCTATACCTGATATATCATTTAACATTAGGGCCTATATTCCTAATCAGGTCAGACATATTCATAAATAAATAGTAGATTTTAGCTGAATTGGCAAAGTTAAGTGTCACTGATCCCTTCTCATAAAATTGCAAAGTGCAGATCATTAAATTTCTTTCACATGGGTCATCAAGTAGAGACATTTTGGGGAAAGTTATTGCATGTATTACATCAGAGCATACCTCTTGTCAACTTAACTGCTTAGTATCAATGTTTAGATTGCAATCTGGGCAGCAGACACATATGAATTTTGAATTTTGTCATCATGGGAACTGCTATATGAGATGATTTTTTTTAAGTGTAGGATTCCTCAGATTTATAAATATTGGAAAACGTGGACAACATTCATGAATATATGTAGTCATGACAATCCAATAATTGGGGAGCTTAATATAATGCAGTTTAAGAAAAAATTACCACATTTTCTTGTGTATTTTCATCTTAACATTTTAATGCTAGATTCTGAAAATTAAAACAATGTTCGCAAACGTAATTTTTCTTTCTGAGGAGTACTTTATTGACAAATTATATTCCGTTGATTATTATTATTTTTATTCAATTTATTCACGGGATTTGGAATTTTGTATTAGTTTTTTATCCATTTTATTTTCACTCACATTAATTATTTGAAACATATTTTGTGTGACATCTTTGTTATGCTTTCGGCAAGTGTTCTCATACTTAAGGAAATTTCCAAACATGTGATTTCACATTACTTGTATTATTTACATTCCAGTTTATTGTAGCCTTTGCCTACTGCTAATGTGTTCAGTTTTTCAAAATCCGTGACTTTTATTTACCCCCTTCTCCTTTGTTCTTCCAATGTTCCTTATGGGAACTGTGCTCAAAATTCATTCATGTGAGATGCCCTTGGAGATTTACAAAGTAACTGAGCTGGCAGTCTGCATGATATGCCCAACTTACCTTCAGATATCAGCTCAATGTCCATCAATTGTAATGTTGATATTACTATGTATTCTTATACATTCTTACTGTAACTGGGTTCTTCAGAAATGAAATTACTCAGAATTTTCCTGCCTCAATTTTCAAATAATGAAATTAATTAAAAAAAGGATTGAGAGTATGTGAGAAGATTTGATAAGTATTCAGAATGGTGTTAATGTAAATTGTGAAAAATCAATTTAATACTGCTCATGCCTCGAGACAGCCTTGCAACTCATTTCCCTGTAGAACAAATCGGTCTGAAACTGTTCCCACAACAGCTGATAATATCTGGATTCACGTGCATATTGCATACTTTTCGCAATTTTCAGTACATCATAATTAATCTTATGAAAAAGATTCTCTTTGTATATGTAATAATTATTTCTGTTCTAGTGTCTAAAGCATAAAGTGTTAATATACTGTACTCTTCCTGTCTTCTTATATTCTATAATGGGAATTGTGTAGTACTTATATAAGTACCTGAAACAAGCACTTATAAAGAATCATCTCTACTTTTATTGAAAATCTTAATATATAATAATGTTAGTTAAATTAAATTGTAAACTGTTTATATATATATTCACAGTTTCAATCAAATGTATATATATATATACATTTGATTGAAACTGGTTATTTTGTATTGTATCATGTTATTCCTAAAATTTAAGTATATGTGTATATAATTTATATTTTTCCTGTTTCAGAGCCTATATACTAGTAGTCCCTTCTCTGATCCACTGAGCCTCGATATGACACCTGTTCGTGGCCCAACCCCTCCCATCGAAACTGGAGGAGTTGATAAGCCTGATATGTCACACATTGACAACAACAAGGCTCAGATAATATGGATAATAGTCCCTGTTATAGCTCTGATTTTCCTGACTTTTTTTGCTATCGGAATTTTCTTAATGAAAAGGTGAGTTTGTGTTAAAATGAGCAATCAATAAATTTATTGCCATTTCAATTGAAAACTTGAAACTTAAGTTTTAAAAAATAAGAGAGAAAAGAATCATATGAAGAGTGAAGCTAAAGTCTTAACTTTTACATGTTTATAATTTTTATTGACGAACCTGTGCTATGTTATGTTAATTGTTCATGAATGTTAAGTTTTTAAAATTTAACCTGCCAAATTTTAACTATTGTAATTTCTCGATCACAGTCATTATCAAGTGCTCTTATATCTACATAATCTTACAATTTCTGTTTTTTTTTTTTTTTTTTTATCTTTTTTATTTACCAAGAATTTATGAGTACAAGTTTTCAAATGTATATTGATAGGGATATAAGTGATAATTTACCTTATTTCATATTAGCTCAGTTCTCTCCCCTCATTTTTTTTTTAATTCTACATATACTAAAAAATTAAAAATCTGTCAAAAATGCCTTTAAAAAATAAATTTTCAAATATTTCTGAATCAAGCCCTTCAGTATCCTATAAATTTAGATCTGATGTGTGATTAAGCATGCATATTTTATTACTGTGAAACTTAGTTTACTTGCCAACAGTAGCTTAAATTTTGTTTGGAAATAAATGGCAGGTTAAGTGTTAAAACATTAAAAATTATAATAATTATGTCTACTTGCAAAATAAATACTGCAAGGAAAATATTGTATATGCATAAGAGAGTTGCTCTTATTTTGCTTTGTATTAAAAAATATTGTTTCACTTTGTGTTATGAGTTTGATTTTAGTTTTTTTTTACTTTTTTTCATTTGTGAAATAATGCTGCTTATAGTCATTGCATGAACATAAATTACACTTTAAGTTTTGCTTAAATTGCTTGTTTTCTTTGCTTGCAAGTTTTTTATGTATTGAAAAGCATTGCTTACATATAAAATTTGGACTATTTTCAGCATGCATTTGAATCACATTTTATCTACAACTATACGAGTTCGTTCAAAATTTAGAAATTTTGATATAAACTGTTTGATCAAATATCAAGTTTTGAATTTGAATAAATTTCTTTTAAAAAAATTATAAACCATAAAACGCCCCTAACTTTGATTAATTAGTGCATTTTTTCCATAATGAATTAATTGAATGATAATATAAATTCCAATTTGAATAGCAAATGCATTTTTTTAAAATAAATTTGCTATTGACCTGTTGAAAACAGGGGGATTAACATATTCATTGTTTATGATATATACTCAGGATTTGTATATCATTCACTTGTTCTCTAAATGTTATAAATTTCAATTTGAATAGCAAATGCATTTTTAAAAATAAATTTGCTATTGACCTGTTGAAAACGGGGGGATTAATATACCCACTGGTTATGATATATATATTCAGGATTTATATATCATTCACTTGTTTTCTAAATGTTATCAATTTACTAAAGTAGTGTTTGACCTAAAGATGAGATTGATAGTTTTAGACAGAAAGAACTGTAATGGAAGTTTAGGCAAGAATAAATAAGCTTAAAAAAATTAAATTAATTGAATCGGAACAGTCTCTTAAAATTTTGACTTCATTTAATCATAATAATTGATAACTGAGGTCTAGTAGATTTAAGAAAAGTGCTATCAGATTCTAGTTACTTTAGTTTAAATGCATGCTATCGCATAGTTACAGCAGGTTATTTTTATTTCATTTGTTTCATCATAGCTGACTATCTTTTGAGTTTTTCTTTTTTTTAATTCTGTTTGCATGCTGTTTTTTGTTTAGTTTGCATCATCTTTTTGCCTTTTTATTGTGCATTTTTTAGTTTTTTAAGTTATTTTTTGCTGGTGTCCGTTTGGTTCGCTTTGGTTTCTTCTGTAATGTTTAGTATGCAGACAACACTGTTACAGGAATTTCCCTGAACTCTATAGAAGGCGACAAATGGCAAAGACACCTGGAGGTGAAACTACCATGAAGCTCTTGATGACAACAGCAGAGAGAGAACTACCTAGCCATCCAACGGATCCTGTGGAAATTCGTCGTATGAACTACCAGACACCAGCAATGATTAATCATCCTCCAATCCCAATCACTGAGCTTGCCAACCATATCGAGATGCTTAAAGCCAATGATAATTTAAAATTTTCTCAAGAATATGAGGTAAAATATTTATCCTCTATATTTATAATTATATAAAGTATAGCTAAATATGAGTGTTAAATTTGAGCAAGTCTATTTTAGAAAGACTATCAAGTAATTTTCTTGATATTAGAATAAGCTGGGAAAAAATTTAAAAGCAAAGCAAAGTACTTTCTGATTACCCAAACCCCTCATAGGTTTCTTCAAAATAGGAAAAAGCTTAAGTAACAGTTCATGTAAATAAACTGTTAAATGTTAAATGAACAGTATATTCTGAATGAGAAAAGAAAATAACACCAATAATAAACTTACTTAATTATGTGATTAATATTATACAGTCTCATTTATTGCAACAACAACCGATGATGATCCGAATGTATAAGAATATAACCAAATATTAGATCTTTCACCGATGTATTTGGAGAATGTCGACATTCTCCATTTTTGGTATTTCGCACTAATATATACACCACATGCATATTTAAGTACATGTAGATTGTGCACTCTTTTTAACCATTATTTCACTGAACAGTATCCACTAGTTGTAGAAATAAAAGTACATAGATTTTTTTTATGAAATTTCTCATTTCTTGTAAATTGCTTTTCTTTATTATTATTTAGGAATACAACAATGCATACAGACTTTAAAGGTTGACAAGCAAATTATCTTCACTGGTTCGTAAAGGTGCCAATGAGTTACAACTTCTTCATGGGCATTTAGATAATCATAAAATATCTGAAATAATATATTTTACATACATTTATATAGCAATGTTTATATAACAGTTATTTTGTAAAAATTTTTTAAAAAGGGCACTGTTCTAACAAATTATAAGGAGATTAATTTCATGGAATGAAATTTAACATTACATAAGTGTTTCCGAATGCTTTGTTATGTTGTTGTTGCTAATGCTCACTTGTCTGACCTATAGTCAGTTCTAGTCGACAAAATTCCTCGTGGCAAGGAGCACAAGTTTACGACTGTCATTGGCAACAGGCTTGAGCACCTTACTAGTGACAGTGCAATTTAGCTCAGCCCCGCCCCCAATTTTGATGGAGAGCACACTGGGGGACAGGTCTGAGGGTCTCCCAACCCTCTTCCCTTACCACAACCTCTCGAGAGGACTTTTGGCTTGCTGCATATTTAGAGTGCCCCCATCCCACGCAGGCACTATGCATTTACAAACATCTATGTGCTTTCTCCAGGATTCGAACCCGGGCTTTCAGCATGGCAGTGATGCTAAACGCTATACCGGTTGGGCAGCTGCTTTGTTATGTGCTAAAGATCTTTTATTATTTTATCTTAGATATGAAAAAGAGAATTCTTTATTATTTTTATGCTTTTTTAATTTTATATGGTTTAAATCAGTGGTTCTCAACCTTTTGACTAATGTGTACCGTCTAAACAAAAATTGAAAACCTTTAGTACCACCACTCTTGAACAAAGCTCAGATCGCATAAATTTACGAGTGTTAGAGAAAAAAACTCAATCAGGATGTTTTAATTTTTGAATTTAATAGTTAAAAATACTTTGCTTCTTTGCATACCACCTATTTTTCTCTTGTGTACCACCGGTTCAGAACCCCTGATTTAAATTATTATTTTTTCTATTGTTAACTGGAGGAAGTCTTTAGTTAACAATAAAAGTCTAAAGGAAGTAAAGGCAAAGGAAGTCTTGTATGAGATAAAACTAATCAAGGGTAATGCTTTCTATTTTTTTAATAACTTGACTTCAGTTTAACTTTTTATTGTATTTCAAAGATACAAGAGTAACTTCAAAAGTATCTTTTGATAAATTTAATAATCAATACATACACCCTTTTAAGAGGTTAATTAATGCTTCTACTGTATCCTAGGTCTGTGAGCCTTATTGTGTATTTATTGGAATATCCTTATGTATCTGCAGTACTCTAAAGGGCCGTTCCCACTTGATACTCAACGACGCTGTCGGAGCTAACCAGTGCATAGAACATGGTTCTACCTAACCTAGCTCGTTCACAACACTTACTGGAAGCGTCCACTGTCAACATCCAGTAAGCGAGTAGAAGATCGTGTGCGCTTTCATTTGTTTACATTTGGTAGCAGACGCTTTTCTGCCGCGAATCTTTGAGTGATAGAGCGAAAACTGAGTGACTTTTTAAAAAAAAAAAAAAAAAATGGTTCGACCGAAACGTATAGTGAGCAGAAAACAACGAAAACGTACTTATTGTTGCGGAGTTTTCTTCTTGCAGCATATGTATTATATAAGACTTTAGAAAAAAATCCACGAAATGAGTGGGTGAAATCCATTTACCTGTAGAGAGCAATTCGTGGCCATCATTCTGCTTTGCTACCTCATCTAAAAGAGAATTATAAGGACTTATTAAAGTTTAAAAGCATTGTCCCAAATTGGTTAGAGGTCAAAATTAGGAAATGGCATATTTCGTTAACTGAAACACAACTAGGTACAGCTTTTAGAATTTAGTTCAAAGAAGTAAAAGTTAAAATATTAAGATAATTATCATTACTTGAAAAACATATGAATGCTAAATATGTATTATGTAATAACCATTATTCTTTTATGGGTTGACTAATTAAGTATGGAAAGGGGTTATCCTTTCCTTTTGCTCAAAATTTGGCCATTAAGTATACAGGTTGCAAATCATCAAAAATTATTTTGAAAAATAAAAACATGTTTTATTGTTATTATTTAATTATTATTATCAGTATTTTCATTCCAAATAATTAGGGAATGTGCGAGTTTATAAAGTTAATGTGATTCATTTTATTATATGAGGCCAATAAACAGTACCTTTCTTTTTATGATGAGAAAAGTTTAGAAAAAAGAAAAATATTACATTAATGCTTTTGTCTATGCTTTGCTGTCACTACTTTTAATTCCATTGCTAACTTTATAATACAATTAGATATATCTGAGATCATTGATATCAGTAATTCAATTAATACTCCGAATTCAAAATCTAAACACAAAAATGTAGAGAAAATTACTTACCATTCCGATGGAAACGATCCGCAATCATCATCCAAGCGCATTCTTTTTTTATTTTATTTTTATAGTCCTTAATTTGATTATCCCATATAACGGAATGTTGCTGGATTTCGGCAATTAGACTACAATCTTCGCTCGTGTCATCAGCCATGTTGTTTATTGAACTTAGCATGCTTCTGATGATGATTTGAAATACTCTCCTGATTGGTCAGTTCCATGTGTCAACTAGCTCCGTTTTGCGTGAAGTTCAGATTTTTCAACTGGGTCCGTAATGACAAAAAAATTTGTTTTTTCTACCTGATCGGCTGTGTTGGTTGCGTCGGATGTGTTCGTTAGCTCAAATATGTCCCAGTGTGAACGGCGCTTTATACTGCAAATACTTTTTTTTTTCCCAATTTCTAAGATTGTAGAATATCCTCCTAAAAAAAAAATCTAAACTTTCTCTTAATGTATTCCCTAGTCTAGTTTATTTCCTTTCTTTTTATGTGGTATTTTTTTCACATATTGACTCTATAGTAGAAAATAGTTTTCATTATTTTGTTACAATTTACTGTACTAATTTATTATGTTTCCTAGAGGAAATTTTTCTAACAGTATTATGATGCACTGGCAGAAAAGGCTTGGCATATTTAGCATCCATTTTCTGAGCATGCATTTAATCCAATCCAAGCACTTTCCCATGAAACAGAGGTCTGTGGTTCAATATCAAGAAAAACTGCAGTGTTTCCAATACTAATTGATAGATGTTACCACCGTGAAAACCTGTTAAAATAAACCCACACACTGTATTGCCACAGATTAGTGCTTTGAAGTTCTGCTCCTACCTACACATCTAAAAGCACCAGAGCTCGTTCAATGTCCTTCAGTTTAGTAAGATATACTAGCCCTTTCGATGTATGTTCTTTCCAAATCATCGGTGGTCACAAGTGCACTCCAGGATGCTAACAGAGTAGGCTATTAAGAGAACAGCTGTGGCTGTTTTCTCAATATCATACTCTGCTCTGCAATGGAAAGGAACTTATTCAGTGATCTAGCTTGTTTGCCTAAAAGGCAAACCATGTCTGGCAGATACTATTGTGCTTCCAACTCTCATTGATAAATGGTGTCACTAACTTAAATCTGTTATAATATATATTGTATATTATTCTACAAAATAGGGAATTACTACAATTTTGCACTTTCTTTTCATTCTTCTAATAGTGTTCATGTGTTTTAGTCAGTTTGCATTCAGTTATTAAAGCTTTCTTGTATTTTTTTTAGTTTAGTTTATTATTATTTGACTTCAAAGAAAAAATTTAGTAAACAGTAATAGTAAAATTAAATGCAACTCTCTATTTTTGAATTTGTGTTATTTTCTGTTTCTTAAGCTTATGTAATTATGATTACATTTTCTTTATAAAAAAGAATATCTTCTTATAAAGAAAATGATATTTTTTTAAGATATATTCATTTGTAATGATATAATTGTTAGGTAAGGGAAAAAAGTTTTCTAATTTAAATGAAACCATTAAGTTTTTTAACTTACCATCAAGTTTTATTTTTAATTATTATATTATACAACTTGTCCTTCAGTTTACTACTAGCTTGATATTTTAATGTGAGAATTTTTTGGAATATGACAATATTGTTCGTTTTTCTGTTTTCAGTCCATTGAACCTGGCCAACAGTTTACATGGGAAAATTCCAACCTGGAGATAAACAAGCCCAAGAACCGATATGCAAATGTTATTGCTTATGATCACAGCAGGGTTGTTTTGCAGTCTCTTGATGGTATTGCAGGATCTGATTACATAAATGCTAATTACTGTGATGGTTATAGAAAACAAAATGCTTACATTGCAACTCAAGGCCCTCTACCTGAAACATTTGGTGATTTCTGGAGAATGGTGTGGGAGCAGAGAAGTGCAACAATTGTAATGATGACTAAGTTGGAGGAAAGAACTCGAATAAAGGTGATTTTAATTATAACTGTATATCATTCCTCTTCTGAAATGTACATTTATCTTGATAAAAATATATTTTTGTAATTTTTTGAAAGCGCATTTTAGAAACATTTCAACGATTTATGTTTCAACTCGAGCTGATGAAGCTCTAGCTGTTTCATACTGTTCAACTCTAGCTATTTCATACTGTAAACAATAGTCTCCTCAGAATAGCAAGCACATTGCATAATGCGCATACTTCTTGAGTTCACACTTGACTGACTAGTTTTTCACTTCACTTCCTTCTTCCAGTTACCTCTTTTTTCCCCGCTCTCCTTACACATATTTTTCCTCCTTGCACAAGTAGTTCTTTCTGTATAACTGCATAAAATTGCTACTCATATATTTGTAGAAATCTTTTATGCAATATCCCAAGTTTCTCTGAGTAGGCTTTGTGTTAGGCATTTTTTGCCATCTCTGCAATTGTTGTCGTTATTCTCTGGCATCTGTGTAATTCTAAAAGTTTTGCCGCCCTTAAATTCTGCCACCTGATATGGCTACACCAACTGCTGCTCCATCCCCATCTGTTAGTTCATTTCATACATCTTAAAGCAAGTCCGAATAAATATATTACTTGTTTTTCAGTACTATTTACTAGATCTTTTGCCAGAAGCATATATTGTACTGACCAATGAAAAAGGGAACTCGCAAATAATAGCCGAGATGAAAGATAATTTTAATATTCAGCATGTTGAACATACTTTAAACTTTAACTGTACATATTCTTCAGATTGGATGTTGGGTGCAGTTTGGACCATAGTATATCACTAAAACTGGTTGTCTGTTTATTAAGTCTTATAAGTTTCTAAAATGAGTCACAAGAGTTTAAGTGTCTGCATGACACTCCCAGATATCTACCATCCCATCTCCGGAATTTAAACTTAGACCTGCTTTTTATATTTTTCACATTCTTTCCATTATTTTTGCTCCTTTATTTGTATGAATTTCCTAAGGAATTCCGAGATGCTTTCTTTCATTGCAATGCATCCCTCTTCTGTATGGTGATTATTAGTTGCATTTGCTGTATTATTATGCCCAAATTCAAATCCTGGAAGAGGCGTGGATTTTGTAGTTGTCCGCCACCCTTCTTGCAGTTGTAATATAAGTCTACGCCATATCAACCTTTTTTGCTGCTTGCTCCCCTTTCACCATTGTTAGAAGATCATTTTCCCCTTATTTTCTATAGTCAAAAAGTACATATACATTTATTTCGATTTGAATTATTTTCAGCAAGTTTTTATAAATTTAACAACAAATGAGTATAGAAAATGGGTGATAAGTACCATAACTGAAATTTAATTCATTTTTTAATTCATAATCTGAAACTAAATACTGGTAAATATAAGCTTGACCACATCCTCCCTCGAAAATATGAAATACCCTCTGGTTAAGAAGTCCTGGTCTATCCTTTGTTTAGTGCAAAAGTAAATTGTAAAATATTGTATTCATAATTTGCTTGCATAAAATCCACATTTTGATGTAAGAGAGGATATAAATTAAAATTAAATTGAAATATGTACATCTGAATTTTGTCTTAAAAATTTGTTTCATGCTTTATAATGAATTATAACTATAATTATAACTTTATAACTATATATTCTGTATAGTTTATATTGTTGTATTGTAGGGTTTTGTTACTTTAATTAACTTTTTTTTTATCCTGTGTACTTAGTGTGATCAGTATTGGCCAATGCGAGGAACTGAAACGTATGGTGTAATGCAAGTCACTTTGTCTGATGTTCAGGAAGTGGCAACCTATTGTATACGAACTTTGCATATCTCAAGGGTATGGAGGGGAAAAAAATTCTTTTTATTCTTTTTTAACAAAGTTTTAGTGATTTTTAATCATGTTTTTTTAAACATATATTTGTATCAAAATGTATTGTTAAGGACATGAGAAAAAAGACTGTTTAGTACAGTTGAAATACCGAAAATCCGCCGACCTGAAATCCGCCAACTCCTGAAATCCACATTGCCTCTCAGAATACAAACATTCAGTTTATAGGTTCCGGAAACCGCAACATGGAGTACGAAATATCAAAGAAAAAAATATTTACCGAATAATAATGAGTCAAAAATGGAAATACCAAATTATTGATATAAAAAAATTAAAAAAATGAAATAAAATAAATAAGATTTTTTCCCTCTAATCTGCATGGAGGTAAAAAGCAGACAATTCATTCAACTCTTTGTTCAAGTTTACGATTCACATTGTATTTTCTGAGCTTTGTTATTTCATTTCACAAGATTGTTTAGTGCTGCCTTTTTTTATCTGGGTATTTTGTTCATAAATTAAGAATATTTTATTTCAGCCCTTTTTAATACAATGACAGATAAGAAACGCACTCGTGATTTTACTGCTTGCAACTTTAAAAACGTAAACACGTTTTTCAAAGTTGCAAAAAAAAAAATGTAAACACGTTTTCACGTTTTTCAAAGTTGCATTGGCAGTAACGCAAAAAGTGCAAATTCTGCAAAAGATGGAAGCAGGTATTACTCCTCAATTTATAGCAGAATGGTATGGAATTGCGACACGATTGTGCATGATATACGGAAAAATAAAGAAATGCTGTTGAAATTTTACAACAACAGTGATTCTAACACCGGAATCCGAAACAGGATCACTTTTCACGAGGCGAAATCGGCAAACCTTGATGCTGTGTGCATGCAGTACAATGAATAATAAAATCAATTTATATATGTAATAATAATTTAATGCATATAATAAATTATTGCAGTAATGTATATAATAATTTAATTAAATGTATCTAATATGCCTTATTCATTTGGACTTTTAGTCCAAATATTGTGCTTTATCTTTTCTGTCCTGAAATACGCAAAATCCTAAAATCCGCACATCCTCTGATCCCAAGCTTTGCTGATTTCTGGAATTTTACTGTATAATGAATATTTTTTTTTTTTTTTTTTTTTTTTTTTTTAATCCCGAGAAAGGGCATTGTAATAGTTCTTATTTTGTAAATAGCAAGAGAGCTGTCAAACATAAGATCATACGTACTCTGAAAATCTAATCTCAAGCCTGATGTTAATTGCCTATGTTAATCAAATTATTATCTGTTTCAATTAAGTTGCTTTTGTATCTGTAACATATTATTATCCTGATTGGGAAGAAGGGAACTCACAGATTCAAAATTTTAGTAATTTCAGTAATTAAGACATTTGTGAATGGGGGAAAAAAAATCATATTAATGTAAATTAGCTATTATGCAATGTATGTCTGTGATCTGGAATCGTCAGAACTTTCCAAATTTTACATATTTAGTTTAAATCTCGTAAGATCACATATAGACATAGTAATATTGGGGTTTCACTGAGAACTAGGTTAGCTAGAATAATGCTCAAAATTGTGTGTTATCAAAGAATGATCCTGGCCAAAGAGAAAAATCACATTTACAGCACACCTGCTTCCTTTTATTGAATATTATATTCTGCATTCATATACTTTATAAGGAGTGAAGAATTTTATTATTATTATTTTATTTATTTAATTGTCTAGTGATCTGGAGGTCTACATATTAGATCATTTTGAATATTTTACATTCGAATAAGACATACCAAAGGTAATGTTATAATTGTGATTATGCTGTTGAAACTTATTTCAAGAATGGCAGCTATAATTCTATCTTTGGTTCCTAAAATTAACAATTTTATAGTTTCCTGTAGAGGTAATTCAAACACGAAATTTTCCAAAAATATTATGTTACCGTATTGGAGTTGAAAGACCATGTCAAACTACCCATCGTGAGTATCCTTGAAAAGCTCCTAATATACTCTGAATGATGCGAGAGGCAACGGGAGTATCATCTGGCAAATGTCATATTCAAATATTGAATGATGAATGTCATACTTTTAATTGCTATTTGGAATAAAATAATAATAAATATAAAGCAGTTTTTCATTAATAGATATAGTAGTAATGTGCAATAAAACATTGTTGTGCTCTATGTAATCAATAACTCACTTAAAAAACTATAAACGTGAAAAAATTTAATTGAGGACTGTTCCATGAATTTTTAAAGATGAATCAGACTGGGGAGAAACGTGAAGTTCGTCAGTTCCAGTTTACAGCCTGGCCTGATCATGGAGTTCCTGACCATCCAACTCCCTTTTTAATGTTCTTGAGAAGAGTCAGAAGTATGAATCCTCCAGAGTCAGGGCCGATGATTGTTCATTGCAGGTGAGTATAAAAGCTGCATTTCAATTCTCTTTTTAAAAAAATCATTGCGATTTTCACCGTATTTTTAAGTCGTTCATTCTATTCATGAAAATGTTTTTACTATTTACTAGTATGAGGTAAATGTTGTATCTAAATCTAAAAAAGTAAAGAAAGAAAAAGAAATTGCATGTAGTGGGTGGCCTATTTACAAGCAGCTAAGTGAAATAAATTTTTGTATAAAGAAATTAATATACATCTGTTTGCAAATAAATGTTATATCCTATATTTATTGCTTCTATTATTCATAACTTGCTTCATTATATTAGTTAGGTCTTTCCAATTCTTAGTACATATTTACTTTATTCCATAATGTTCCCTCCAGTTTTATCTTAATTTCAATATATCGCCATAACATAAATTGCTTTTAGTTAACTTTTTAGTGATTAAGCAATCTCTTTACATAGTTCCTTCATGTACACCTTGCACAAAAAAAAAAAAAAATTAGTCCCCTGGCATTCTGGAGTTTGTTGGTGATGGATACGATGTTGCCGTGTGTGCTCTAGTCGAACCTGTACAGCTTGCAACAAACAAACAAAAAGTTCAGTTTTATATGACTCGTTCTACTGGACCGATTGTTAAAATTTAACTTGCATTTTCCATGTCTTAAAAGTGTGACTTGGATATATATTAGATTTATATATAACATTGTTCTAACTTGGATATTAGAATACAAAATTGGACTTTTTCTGAAATAACATGCTAATTTTTTCCATATTTCTATTCTAGGACTCAAATTAAGCCTAGGTATTAAATTTTGTAACTTTGAAATAATTTTAACAAAATGCATAAACCACGTTTGGCATTATTATCACATATAACAAATATGCCAAATTTCAAAACGTGTCAGTATATAAATTCACATATATCTTAGAAAATTTTGAATAAAATAATTTTTTGCAGGTATGCTTAGAAATATATCTACTTTAAGAAGATGATACAAATTTTATAGGTTATAATTCAAATTTTTTTGAAAATTTATAAAAGTTATTTTTAAAATAAATCATAAAAAAAATGGGCAAATTTTATTTGGAATGAATCTAAATTTCAAAATGTGAAAGGACGAATCAAATAAGTTAAATAAAAAAAGGAGATATTAAATAAATATATTTAGTATATATTTATTCAATTACCATGGAGGAGCTAAAATTTTGAGAGCTAATTTTTTAAAAAACCTACTCATGTCATTTTTTATGAAACTTGGCAGTTTGGCATCATTTGATACATAGAATTGAAATGTGGGGGAAAAAATTGGCATTCAGAAAAAGGTCTGATTTTGTGTCAAAATACCTGTGTTGGAACAATACTATATACAGTACAAAGTCTTTAATCCGGACGTCCATAATCGGGAATTATCTATAATCCGGACCTCAAAGCTACAAACTCTCTGCGCATGGATGAGCACATAATGCATTTACGCATGCACATATGCGTTTATGCATGTGCATAATACGTTTACGCATGGGTGTTTAATGTATAACGGATGGTATAAGCTAAGCTAAAATTATCTATTTCAGTTAATGTTGCAGATTGTGTTGTTCTTTAATCTTCTAATTGGATCCGGCTTATTATTTTTTGCAGACTGTTAGAGCAGTTTTATAAAAAGTAAGCTTGAACTTTCGATTATGTCAAAAAGAGTTTCCGATTCTGGAGCTGCCAAAGGATCTACAAAGCGAAAGCATGGATGTCCATCAAACAAAAAGTGGAATTGCTGCAAAAAAATGGATAAAAGCATATCCTTTGTTTCTCTAACCATTCCGCAATCTGTTTATCAATTTCACGCTGCTCTGCGGAGGAGGGGGGGGACGTCATGGCGCGCAATGAACTGGAAGTTGATCTGTCAGCACTATCCTCATCTTCAGGGCAGATGTTTTTATTTTATTCAGCTTATAATTCCTTACTAAATGTAGTACTTCATCTCGATGTACTCCGTCTCTGATGTGATTTAAATCGAATTCCTTGTCATTATAAATATCATGAATACACATCAAATAGTTTTCTGGATGCAATTTTATAATTTCAACTGTGCTTAATGTATGCTTTACGCATGCGCATGTTTAAAGAAATGTTTAATAAAGTAAACAAATAAATATTAAGTTTTTTTTAATTTTATAATTTCTGCATGCCATCTTACCAAATTTAAATTGATGATCTATAATGCGGATTAAAGACATTTTGCTGTATAATCCTAAATTGCACTTTCGAGACACGGAAAATGCAAGTTAAATTTCGACAATCAGTCCAGCAAAATTTAAGATGTAGACCCCCCTTTTTGTGTGTGTGCACAGTGTACAATATAAATGTTCCCTATTTCCTATGAATAATGTTTTGCAAAGATATCCCTTCTATTGCAAATACTTTAATAATTAAACAGCCTGAAATTTTCTTGTAACTAGACCCATTAAGTATGCCAATTATTTTACTACAGCTTCTAAAACTGGTTATTTGCTGATATTATTTGTTAAATGTCATTAAAGTTTTTACAGATTATTAATCTGTTAAATCACATGATTTCTGTTAAAATTAACATCTTTTGTTTGTAGCGCTGGTGTAGGAAGGACAGGCTGTTTTATAGTTATTGATTCTATGCTTGAAAGATTGAAAAATGAAAACACTGTTGATATTTATGGGCATGTGACATGTCTAAGAGCTCAGCGTAATTACATGGTTCAGACTGAGGACCAGTATGTTTTTATTCACGATGCTGTGCTAGAAGCTGTTATAGCTGGCAATACTGAAGTTCCTGCTCGCAGTCTTTTCGTCCACATTCAGCAGCTAATGCAAGTGTTACCTGTAGAAGGATGTAGTGGCATGGAACTGGAGTTTAAGGTTAGTGGAAGTTTGAACCTTTATTGTAATATTTTATATATTTGTATTTTGTGCTTAATGTGAAATATTCAGATATTTGTGCTTGATATAAAATAAATATTCAGGTAATGTGAATTTTTTTTAATGTAAAAGATTATAAACTAACTCAGAGCATTGCTAAAAATAAGTTGTTTTATAACTTAAATTTTGCGTGTTATATCATTGTAATATTTTTAATTTGTTACTTGAACTAGACATTGCACTTTTAAAAATACAGAGATTTATATTATTCCAAGTATGGATCATCTAGCTTTTGATATATTTGGTAGGGTAGTAATAAAAAATTTTTGAGATCAAAATGATTTTCAGTTTACTCTTCACATCTTTCACTCTTTTTAATAAATCAAAATGATAAGAGATAAATAAGGGAAAATTCATATTAAAATGAAAATTGAAAAAAAAATGTAATTTATGAATTTTCATTTATGTTTAAAAATTCAGTATCACCTTATTAAAGGATGGGGAGTTCCATTGTATTGTCTTGGTTCACAGCGGACTTGTCACTGAGGTATTATCTAGCTTTTGATGTTTATTACCATTTTATTTATCTATTATAGGAAATGTTACTATGATTTAAAACTTCATTGTCCAAGTATAATTTCCCCATTTGGGCAAAAGTAGAAATATAATAAAAATTCTACCTTAATTTGTTTTTTTGGTTAACGATAACAGAACACTTATTAAACTTAGTATTCTAAATTATGGAAAATACATTTAAATAATTATTTTTTTGGGTACATTGTGAATGCTGTTGAGAGAAATATATATGTACAGATAGTCCATTATCTGTGTATAATTTTTATAGTATCTGTTCATCTTAAAATATGTAAACCAAACTAGTCACAATATTTCACTTTTGTAAATGAAAGCAAGTAAATTCATCGAGCCTCAATAACTGTACTAAAAAAGGAAAAAATGGTTTTTCAGAGAAATGTACACTGGTATGATATTTTTAAGTATGTTTTAAATCCCCCATTTATTTTTCATTTCTTTCAGAAACTAGCAAATATGAAAACTCAGTCAAGCAAATTTGTCAGTGCTAATTTGCCTGTCAATAAATTCAAAAATAGATTAATGAATATTCTTCCATGTAAGTATTTCATGCAAGTTATCTATCTCTGTTTTTAAACTAAGAAAAGTTATGTTTAATAAAATCATTATCAAAGAAAGTATTATTAAAAAATTTAACCTGTGTGTGCCATATTTTTAGCCATGGTGGTAAACCATTTCTTAAAATTCAATAAATTTGAAAAATCTTTTCAAAAATCAAAAAATTAAACTTTTTTTTAATTTTAGAATTTGGGTAAATATAATAAATCACTTGTTAACGAAAAATGTAAAAAAGAAAGATTGAGAAAAATATGAAAATTACCATTAATCATTTGATGTTGATTTTTTTTCAGTATGAAGAGAAAATGAATTTTACGTAGATTTACTTTTGTATGTATTACACATCCTAAAAGTGCTGGATGCAAGTTAATACACAGTGTTGGTTTTTAAACTGACACTACTCAGAACCATCTGCGGCTCGATCTATCAAGTGGGATGCCAACAAATTTGATAGACGGATTAATGATGATACGGGAAAAAAGATATTGTGAAAAAAAAATTAATTTTGAAAGTTGCCGATAGAGGAAAATGTGACGCTGTTCTGGTCTATACAACTGAAAATTTACGTGAAATGCAGGTAAAATTTAAAAATACAAATGCTTGGTTACATAAATGACAGCAGCATCAGTCATTCAGTCTTTAAAAACAAGGAGGAAATCCTGAAGGTATTCTGGACTCAACATATGTCTCGCTTTGCCTCAGCACACACTACTTATGAAGTACTTTCATCTCCGTCAATCAAATACAACCATCGTTCTTCATGAGTTTAGAAGTCATAACAACATGTATAAAAACCCTCTATCAATTAATGCATCGAAAGGCATTATTCAGAAGTTTGAAGAAACAGGATTAGCACTTCAGTTTAGAAAATTAACTTCAGTTCAAAATTAATTAGTAGACAGCAAGAACTCATGTTAGAACAGACAATTACTAATATTTTGACTTCAATCATTGATGGCATCCATGGGACCATTGCTGGTAATAACAATGTCTGGGGAACAGGGCAGCAACTGGATTTGAATCTTTCAGCAGTATGGCAAACCTTTAAAGATAAGCCATGTGCAGAACTTAAAACACAGCAATTATGATAAATGGATTTTGCAACAATTATGATAAATGGATTTTACAACAATTATGATAAATGGATTGATTTGTTATTTTCTCTGACATTTCTGGCCAGGATGAAGATCAACAACTGGTCATGGAGAATTATTTGGGGAGATGAGGCCCATTTGCATATAAATGGGACTGTTGACATTCACAGTTCTTGAATTCTGGCATTCCAATAATTCCATGCAGTTTAGGAAATCCTGTTGTATTCACCAAAAGCCATTGTTTGGTGTGGTTTCACAGCAGATTTTATTAGCAGACTATTCTTTTTTGAGATCATTACTCTAACAAGATCACACACCTGTTATCATGCAAGTGTATCCTATTCCACTACTTCAGCTGTGGCAGTTATTGTATCATGTAACTTTTATGTAGGCTGGAGCACCGCAGCACATTGATCTTTTAGTACAGTGCTTGTTGTCTCATCACTTTGCAGAAGAAGGATTAAAGTTACATTTTTCCACTTGCATGGCTGCATTGCTTCCTGAATCTAGTTCCCACATGACTTTTTCCTGTTGGTTTATTTGAAGTTCAAGATCTGTCTTGGTGGTGTCCCAACTGTGATGGCCTTAAATGGCAACATATCACGGCTGTGCTGAGTCTCTCTGGTTGCATTCAACTGTCAGGAAAGTCACATGTTGGATGCAGTGTGTGATCCATGGGAAAGGAGTCTGTACCTCTGCCGAAGAAGCGCTTTTATTGATACAACTGAAAATTTACGTGAAATGCAGGTAAAATTTAAAAATACAAATGCTTGGTTACATAAATGACAGCAGCATCAGTCATTCAGTCTTTAAAAACAAGGAGGAAATCCTGAAGGTATTGAATTAAATTTCCTGAATTTATTGAATTAAAGTGCCATGGATCACTGAAATACATCTGTAACCCTTTGGAACAGTTCATTTACTACATTAAAATGGGATTGCACTGAAATTTTTTCTTTGTTATTGATTTTTATAATTCTCAGTTGTATATCTCCTCATTTTCTTTTATCAGCATATTCTGGAACTAATGTTTTTGTTTTGTGTGGCTTGTGATATATTTAATGTGAAGATGAACAAAAGTCATTTCATTCATGTAATGGTGTAGCATAATGTTTAATTTCCAACACTGTCATATTTATAATATTATCATTTTATAACACTCCTGCTAGAATCCTAAAATTCTTATCAATTCACCAACATTCATGTTAGAGACACAATAACACGCCGAATAAATACTAATTCAGAAGTCAAAACAACAAAAATCAGCGTTATATTTACAAAATTTTCACAGGACTAGTTTCGATGGTTTTACCGAACCACCATCTTCAGCTGCAAAACCGCAAATGAACCAGATAGGAAATAATGATTAGATAAGATAAGAAAGCCTGGACAAGAATAAGTAAGTGGCGCCATCTGTTGGTGAAACCAGAACTAAAACATAATTTCTTTAAAGGCCGAGGCAAATTTGGATTGGAATTAGGATCGTTAACTAGAACAGAAAGATTTTTATGAATGTGAAATGCCTCTAGAAAATCCAGTTCTCCAATGGAAGATGTTTTTTGAATAATTTTGGCAGCAGAAAAACTGAAAGTGTGGTTTTCGGACCAACAATGTTGAGCAACAGAAGACTTCTGTGTTTCCTTTTTTCTAACATATGCCTCATGTTCCTTGACGCGAAATTTTAATAGACAATAACATTTACACCATAAAAAATTCAATAGAGTTTGTAAAAAAAGTTAAAAACATTTCTCCTAGTAATTTACTCATGGTTTCTTTTGATGTAAAATCATTATTCACCAATGTCCCATTGGAGGGTGCATTAAGATGTCTAGAAACCAGACTTCGCGAATTTCATTTCTCTTGCATCGAAATTGATGAGCTAATTTCTCTCACTCAACTCTGTTTGAAACATTTTGTTTTCCAAAATAAATATTACAAACAAACTGAGGGATTAGCCATGGGAAGCCCCCTCAGTCCCATCCTGGCTGATATCTACATGCATTATTATGAATCAAAATTGTTTGAAACTTTAAACTTCCCGGCATGGTTCCGCTACGTAGACGATACTTTTTACTCTGTTTGAAGGTAATAAGATGATTTAAATAATGTTCTTTCAACAATGAATTCTATTGATCCTGCTTTCAGTTCACTTTTGAACTTGAGACTTGCAATTCTCTTTCCGTTCTCGACATTCTGGTCACACGCAACACATCCAACTTCAGTACTACTACGTTTACCGTAACCTTCATCGGTTTGCCTTCCACCACACTTTAAATCATGTCATCCGACTAAAACAAAGTTAGCTTCATTTTATTCGTATGTTTTCCGTGCTCTTCAAGTTTGCTCCTCCAAACTAGCCCTTGATGAAGAACTAAATTATTTAAAAGCAATAGCTATTGACAGGGGCTTTTCCACCCAACATTATTAATCAAGCAGTAAAAAAAATTCTCATTTCAAAACACACTAAAAGGCACACTCTTGTTTTAGGAGATTATAAAAATTCTGTTGTCATTCCCTTCTTTCCATCAATTAGCTATAAAGTTGCACATATTTTGCAGAAATTTAACTTTCGGGTTGTTTATTCTCCCATAATAAAATTCCGAGTTCCATACTCAAGGACCCCATTCCGGATATGAATTCCTAGGGGTATTTATAGGATTCCTTGCCAGTGTGGTTTAATTTACATTGGCCAAACTAAGAGAGCCTTAAAATTTCGCGTCAAGGAACATGAGGCATATGTTAGAAAAAAGGAAACACAGAAGTCTTCTGTTTGCTCAACATTGTTGGTCCGAAAACCACACTTTCATTTTTGTTTTCTGCTGCCAAAATTATTCAAAAAACATCTTCCATTGGAGAACTGGATTTTTCTAGAGGCATTTCACATTCATAAAAATCTCCAATCCAATCCAAATAACGATCCTAATTCCAATCCAAATTTGCCTTCGGCCTTTAAAGAAATTATGTTTTAGTTCTGGTTTCACCAACAGATGGCGCCACTTACTTATTCTTGTCCAGGCTTTCTTATCTTATCTAATCATTATTTCCTATCTGGTTCATTTGCGGTTTTGCAGCTGAAGATGGTGGTTCGGTAAAACCATCGAAACTAGTCCTGTGAAAATTTTGTAAATATAACGCTGATTTTTGTTGTTTTGACTTCTGAATTCATGTTAGAGGTTTGAATGTTGAGAAGTAAAAATTTTATGGAACAAATCTGTTTTTTAACAATGTTTCAAAAAAATCAAGCTTTTTTTGTTTAACAGTTCTGAAAAAAAGTGCAAACTATTTTGTTAATCATCATCCTTTCTAACTTCATCATCAGAAAATATGTAGAATCCCAAAGAGCTTCTTGCTTTGCTTAGTAAATTTTCACAGGCACTGATTTCAGAATTTCCACAATCACTGCTGTTACTATTAGGATCATCCATTTGTAATCCTCAAAAGTTAAGCATATAAATTTCATTAAACAGAAATGGAATCACTTGTATTTCATTTAATAATAAATTAACAAAATATTCAGCAAAATCTGTCTAAATTAAATATTCAAAAAAGGATCAACTTAATAAAAAATATTTTTATAGTATGTGTGCATGGAAACTTTTTAATATGGTATAAAAATAAAAATTATTAAGCAGTAATGGTAATAATATTTGGGAGAAGATAGTTACTCAAGTTAGTTACTCTGCTAGACAATTCTAAATTAACAAATAAGGCTAAAAAAATATTAATGAATATAAAATTTTGTGTGTATATCCAGTTCCTAACCTTGTTTTATATTTTATTCCTGTGTTCTTTTAATTTATAATGAAATTTTATTTTCCTTATATATAAAACTTCAGAGAAATTTAGTTTGTCATTTTAATATATTTTAATATTTTTAATTTGTTACATGAAATGCGAGTTCTGTTAAAAAATAAGATATTACTTGTATATTGTAAATTACCTTTTTTTTTATTGAAATTTATCAGAATCTTTATATAATCTAATCTGATTTTGCACAATAATTATAATTCAGCATCTTTTATTCATTTTAGGAAGAAAAACTCTTTCATTTGTGTGCATTTAAAAATAGAAACTGAAAGAATTGCTGTGCATTATAACATGCAGTATTCATGTAAAAATTATTTTTTATTGATTATAATTTAATATTTAGATGAATCTACAAGAGTGTGCCTACAGCCTATACGAGGTGTTGATGGTTCTGATTATATTAATGCTAGTTTCATAGATGTAAGTTGTATTTGTTATATACTGCATATAGGATTAGAACTGTAAATCAAGAAGTGTATTTCTCACTCCACTATTTTCATTTATGAGTGTAACAAATGTGATTATATTAGTTTTAAAATATGTTTAAAACAATACTACAATTAGAATATATCATAATTATAAAATGATTTTATATATGTAATATTCTTCTATTACTTTTAATGTTTTTACTTATTATTAGCCCAGAAGGTCTATTAATGTCGTTTGCATTTTGCTTGAATCACTATAACGGGGAATCACTTTAAATTGTTGCCACAATATGAACCATTTAGATTTTTTAGAAATTAACTAAGAATCTGCATAATTGTACATTTCTCACATTGTGATAAATAATGGGTACCTAGACCGTCAATTTTGAATGTGTAATCCTCCACCCAATATGGCATCTGGAAGTCCTAGTTTAGAATTTGTTTATTATCTATTTAATATTTGTAAACTTTTAAAGAAATTTTGATTAACCACTCAATGATTTCAAAGCGAGCAATACAACACTGTACGGGGGGGGGGGGGGGGTTGGGCTTTTTCTCCAGCACTCAGAGTGTTGGATTCTAAAGATAGCTCTTTTTAAAATCATTTTATGATATTCCTGTGTTAATTTTATGTTTTAAGGCAAGACATGATATTAATAATAAAGTACATACAAAAGTTAAAAAAAAATGTCCCTTAATAACATAAAATCTGAAAACTTGCAGATTTTTTTTAATTATTATTTTTTTCCTTTATTAAGTCGATAAATTAGTAGTGTTGGTTCTATAGTTGGTACATAGTAAGCCTCCTATGTTCTCTAATGAATCGAATAAGCAAATGCTTGAAGCTTGCTATGACAATGAATTGCCTAGGATTGAGAATGGGGGAATTAAAAAGTCGAGAATAAATCGAGCTTTAAAGTTGAAAAGTTGAATAGGCGATAAGATTAAAAATTAAATAGTAAATAAAGGTAGACCTATTGTTTTATTTTGCAATATATTCAAACTTTGCTCAACAACGAACACTAAAGCTATCAAAAGGAATCAATTCATGATGATGGCCTTTAAGGAATAGGAATCTAACATGGAATTTAACTTTTTTACAATAATAATTTTTAGAATATTTCTTGAAAACTATGAATAAAAGGAAATATTTTTCATTTTCAATTATAATTTTTTTTAAAGAAGCTATAATATCTTGAGTCAAAATATGTTTCTGTTCATTTTCATTTGTTAAGTTTGTTCAAATAAATTACCATTTAATTTTTAACTTTATTTTTCCATTCTTGATTTAGACAGTATAATTTTAAAATACATTTTATGACTGTTTACTATAATATAATCTCTCGATTTAACTAGTCTAAAAAAATCCATATTAACACATTCTTAAATTAATAGCCAAATGCCTTTTTAACATATCAGCTGATCTGCTCTAGTTACGTCATTTAACTGGACAAGTTAAAAATGTTATTGATATTTTTCCCAGATTTCTATTTATATTTCGCTTTAGTTCTGAAGGAACTTATCAGGTGTTATTCTTTTTTTTTTTTTTTTTTTTTTTTTTTTTAGGGTTACAAATATCGTAATGCATATATAGCTACTCAAGGCCCTCTTCCTGAAACAACAGAAGATTTCTGGCGTATGCTATGGGAGCACAATTCAAATATTGTGGTTATGCTTACAAAGCTCAAAGAAATGGGAAGAGTGAGTATCTTTTTATTTCTGTATAGAAAATATTACTGTTATTTTGTCCAGCAGAATTGCAGTGTTGTGATTTTTTTATAAGTTTGGTCAGTTTTTATGTGGGGTAATTTAAAATATTTCTCAGTTTGTTTTGTGTAAAAACTATTATTAATAAGTAAAAAAATAATTTATATTTCCTGCTGAACAGTCACCTTAGATTATTACGCACTTTTGACAGACAGCCTTTATAAAGCTCTTGGCAACAGTTCTGGACTCCATTATTTGCTACTACTTAAGGGTGTTTTTTAATAGTAAAGAAGATAAAAGTTCTTAATTAGTTCTCCTTTCAGCTTGAACTTCAAGTAAGGAAATAGATTAAAATCCACTGGAGAAAAGTTATATAAAATGTTTCAGAGTTGCCAGGATCTACATTTGCTAGATGCAATTGAACCACACTGTTGACTGTGGACTGTTGGCAGAGGACAAGGGCACCCTCTATTTACCATTGGTTATTTGGTTTTGCTCTACATCTGCTCCTGTCAAAAGGGAGAGCACCTGGTGAGGAAGCAAGTGTCTACAGTAAGCGAGCAAAGAGCACCATATATCTGCAATTGTATTTTCATTGTTCAGCTAGTAACAGGCAGCTATATGTATTTTTAGTAATTTTTAGTAGTTTTAGTAATTTTGTATTTTTATTGTAATTTTAGTACCATTCAGTGCTTACACTGAATGGTATTTAAAATTATATAGTATATAATAATATACAAAAGAATATAGTAATAACCTACAACAAGATACAGTTATTTAAATAGGCAGTAAAACAAAACAGAATTCACACAATAGAAAATGAATGATGAGTGCATTACATATATAGTTAATACATAGATGTATGAATGAATTAACAAATTTGTTTCTCAAATTATGCTTAAAGTGCTAAAGTGTGAGACAGGTGGTATAGGACAAATGTAGTAGTATGGGATTAGTTTGCATTATAGGAAATTCATATTCATCAGTTATATGTCTTTTGTGCTACAGAGATTCTGTGATACTATGTATAAAACATCCATTAGCATATTATCTGCTGAGATCACTGCTACTTGATATCACTTTTAAGTGACACATTGTATGATGTGTTATTTATGTAAATAGTTAAAATTTTTCAGTCACTAACATTCCTGTTTGCAGAGCTGGATGTACAGTAAATTGTGTATTTATTGCATGTGTTAAACACTTTTTAATATATTGTTATTAATAACCATGTCGAAAATTTAAAGGTATGCAAGGTAGCATTGGTCCTGTACCTAATCATAAAAAAGAATGCCTCGTTCAATATATACAGTTCATAATCTGATATATATTTTTAAAGGATTTAGCAGCTAAAAAATTCCTAATCTTTCCACCATAAATATGTTCTTACTTTCTTCTTATAAAATATCGTGTCAGTGCATAGGTCCTTGCCATTCTTCGTTGGGTTGCCATTTTTACCATGTTATGATTTTGTTAGTATAAACTACTCTACAAAACATTGCAATACACAATAACAAGACACTGATATGCTACATCATAAATCAATAATCACTCACTCATTCACTCAGTGATATAATCACCATCTTTGTCAATGACCGCTTGCCTCTCCTGTCTTTTGAGTTGAAGAAATCTGTTAGGCAGTTGATAAGAAAAGTTTCATCATGAAATTCTTGTTCCTGATTGTTGTTAGAGAGTAGAAAAGGTGGCAATCAGAAGGAGTGATAAATGTGCTGGAAGTGTTCATTTTTCTGTACCTTACACTTCATATTGATTAGCCTTGAAAATATCCAAAATGAGCTGTCTGTACATATGGGTACATGTCCATCTGTCTGTACATTCTGGGCCACTTTTTATGCACCATTCTGTATCATCCATGTATTCTTTCTCAATTCCTTTAAGAAACTTCGAAAAGCTGCATTTGAACTTCAGGAAAAGATGGTAAAGTTACAATAGATCTGTAACCAAGAAAGAAAATGCATTTATATCAGATTGGAATGTACCTTTTTTTAACCCTCTGATGTAGTAGCATCTTCTGAACTATTCTTTAAATATTTTATTTGATAAATTTGAATAGTAATTTATTTGCTGCTTATTTTCACAATACATAGTTCATGAGAGTGCACTAAATGGAAGCTTATGCCTTTGTGATAGTCTGCTCAGGTATAGCAGTAGGGTTAAGCAGAAAATGTGATGTCTAGTTTTTTGATGAGCTGAAACCAAAGTTGAGAAAAACTTGATCAAAAGCTGAAAATTTCTTAATTGAGTCTGAATAATTCTGTGATGTTCTGTAAATAACAAAAGATTTCAAGATGTAACAAATAAATGACTTTCTTTCATACAAGGTAGGTAAAACTGGAACATTACCGAGTTAATTTGGACAAATCATTTGATTATATCTAAATAATATTTGCATGGTTAGAAACTAATGCAGAAACAAGTTTTGGTATATATATATATATGTAATGATATTTTTAAAGCAATTGATTAAATTAAATTCTATTAATATGCTAATAACATGTTGGCGTTCTCTAACCTATATTGCCTCCCTGTTCCTAAAGGTGGTGGCGAAATTCTTTCTTTATATAAATATATTAACCTTTGGCGCCCGCCAAATCGCCAAACTCAAAAATCTGTCATATTACATAAAGTCCTTAAGACACTCCTGATGAGAAGATAGCGGCACCCGATAATCGTGATTCAATTATATCGTTGATTGGAGTAGCCTCGTGCGCACCATATGTAAAGTAGGGCTTCTGCTCCAAGGTACGAGAGAAGCTTACGAGAATGATGCGAAAATAAACCTACCACTTTATAAATTCCAAAATTTGTGTCTCATTCCCTGGTTGCCCCGGCTGCAGAAAACAAATAATGTATGAGAAGTTACATTTCATATATATATATGTATCTGGTAATTACATTTGACATCCATAAAGTATTTGAGAATTGCAATGGCTGTAGCCAATGTAAGATAATGATTATTATAAAAATTTTGACTTCTTGTAATAAGACCCTTGTATAATCTCTCATTCTGTCATAGGTTTTATTTTTCCCCCCATATTCCCTCTTTTAAATCATGGACAGTATCAGCAGATTATATTGTAATGAAGTTCTTAATCTAACAAAAGGAAGTTTTGTAAAAGATTTTATGTGAGGAAGATTCGTAATTATATTACATTACACCTAGGAAAATCAGAAAAATTTTGTGCATCCAATGATCATCAATGGATTACTAATGTTTATTGGTCTCTTGAAGATCATTGCTTAAAACAGATTCTGAGCACATTGCAGGGATAAATCTTGAACTTTTTTGTTACATATGCATAGTTAAAACACTGATATGAAACATAAAAAGTTTAATCAATATTTTCTAACTCAGAAATATATCTCATAAATCAACCAAATGGGAATTATTGCTTAAGCACAGCTACAGGTAGAAGCTAGGCTAGAATCTGTATAGTACAAGCAATTGAGGTATTGCTAAACCTAGCTTAGTGTTAAGCTAACTATTAAACATAATGTTAAGCTTGGAGTGAGAGAGAAAGCCCTGAGAAGTGGTTTGAGGATCTGTCTTCCCTCTTCCCCTACCACCAAGCTCTAGAAAGGATTTTAGGCTTGCCATGTTGCTGCACAAACGCTGTGCACTTACAAAAATCCGTGCCTTCCCCAGATTCGAACCCAGGCCAAACAATGCAGCAATCAGCGTCACTAACCACTATACTGCCTGGGTGACATTATTGTTTAGGTAAAAGTACATCAAGAATGTATTTGTGTAATGAAGTAGTCTCAATTAATTTTTTATTCTGTTTCTAGGAAAAATGCCACCAGTACTGGCCAAGCGAACGATCCCAGCGTTATTTGTATTTTGTTGTGGATCCTATTACAGAATATAATATGCCTCAATATATCCTGCGAGAATTCAAAGTAACAGATGCAAGGGTTAGTATTTTATAATTTATAAAATTATTTAAAATATAATGTATAAATGCAGTTTTTGCATTTTTTAGTTATCATGTTTATGAGCTGCTTCTTTTATAAGGATGGGCAATCCAGAACTATCCGTCAATTTCACTTCACTGATTGGCCGGAGCAAGGTGTGCCAAAATCTGGAGATGGCTTCATAGAATTTATAGGTCAAGTACATAAAACAAAGGAACAATTTGGACAAGAAGGTCCAATTACTGTGCACTGCAGGTAGGATACGCTATTTTGTTTTTCGCCGCAGGTGTGTAGAAACATAAAATTGTTTAATGTTTTTTAATTTCATTTCCTAGTATAAAATTTATTAGCCAAAAATGGTTGTGTGCAAAATAAAAATGTACAGAAATACTATGATATTATAAATTAATTCATTTCCTAAATCGGCAGTAGAATTTGAGGTAAAATCCGTAGCTGTTGTGTTAAATTAGGAGGGTCTTACTGGGCAATTAATTTTTTCCAAAAATTATAAGAACATATTTACTTGTGCTTAAAAATAAATTTTGAGTAAACTAAAAATTTATCTTAACTGTTTATGTTATGCAGATTACAATTATTCATAAATATATATATAATTTACATCATAATTATAAAATAAGTTGATTCCCTGACAGTGTTAAAGCATGTACTGATGGAGATCTCACTTTTCTTTGAAGCTGCTTTAGGTAGTGATAATACATTTTATTTTCTTTACTGGCTACTTGAACTAGCAATTGACCTTGATCCCATCTTCAGTAAGTTTTGGTTGAAGTAGGCAAACAGTGTCCAGAGGCAGAACAGCAACTTTCATACTTGAGTCAAAACCTGTAGAAAGATTTGAAATCAACAGTATTGCTTAGTTTCCCAAATGAACAGTAGCCACTGTTCAGGCACAGAAACAGTAATCAAAAACATAGAACACAAAAAAAAAAAATTTGAAAGGTTTCAGATTTTGAATTACGTCTAAAGGGGCATATTTTTAACATTTTGTATGTTACCTTTATTTATTAAATATCACGTTCTACGTACTTAAACCATAAAATTCAGTTCAAGAGCAATACATTCCAAGCTGTGACTCCGAGCGTGTTGGACTCACTTTGGTTAAGCTCAATTTTCGAAGAACTGACTCAGTCCAGTAGGCAGTCAGTTAGTTCACTGTTATTCTGCTGAGTACCTTCTAGACTATGCATGTGATTCCCTGAGGTCTCACTATTAATCATGTCCTTTTTTAGGACAGTCAATACTGATGAAGATGTTAGCGGCTATACGGACTCCGAACAATCAACGTTTTCCCTACCTCCCACCTCAAGGCATGAAGAATTTCTAAAGGATCCAAGATTATGGAAGAAAAACAAAAATAAGAAAGGAGAATAATAGTCAGAAAAAATTGAGATAAATGTGGGAAAGATTCAGGAAAAGGACCCTCAAAAAATCCGAGAGAAGAAGCTTCAGGAACTGGTCAAGGAACATGGAATAGAATACGTTATGAAACATCTAGAATTTGAAGCAAGACTGAAAGCAGCTTAATCACCTGAAGAAAAATCCAGAATCGTCTCTGCACGTGTCAAGGAAACAGCCCAGTTGCTCAGTAGGAGACAACGCACTGAAACAACCACCGATAATGTTGGTGCAGATGAAGAATTTACCACACTAAAGAAAATCGCAAAAATCAAGAAAAACCCAGAACTGATGGAAATTCCCCAAGAGAACAGATTCCAATTGCAGAAGAAAATTTAGAAGGTGAAGCCAGCGCAGAAGTCCCTCCCCCTCCCATTGTATTCTCACAGGAAGCAAACGACTGGATTATACTAGATGAAATGCTTACGAAGAACTGTACCGAACCTCATGAGTGTCAAATGAGAGGAAAATCAATCTTCGTCTATACCAAAATCTTAAAAGACTACAGTACGATGAATGAGCTACTTTTAGAAAAGAAAATCCCTTACCACTCATACCAACTTGACTGCGAAAAGCCAATACGTGTAATTCTAGAGAACCTCCCCACAACTTTTAAGGAAGAAAACATCCTACAAGAACTTAAACGCAAGAACTTTCCCATAGGAAAAAAAAAAAAAAAGTTGTCAAAATGACATGATGTTGAAATAATTAAACTTCCTATTTATCTACTTGAGCTCAAAATGACCCTATAAGGTAACAAGATTCATGAGCTGAACGACATATTCAGTTTCAACATCACTATCAAAAAGTTTAGCCCTAGGAAGCGACCAGTTCAATACTACCGCTGCCAGCAGTTCGGCCACTCACAATCATGCTGCAGTAACCCCATCAGATGCATTAAATGTGGACGGCGGTACAGGAGCAATCAATGTTCTATGAAACTGGAAGATAAGCCCAAATGTATATTTTGTGGACTTTGCCATGTCAGTAGTTACAGAAGTTGTAATGAGCACAGAAAATGATTTTAAAGGAAAAGCAGTACACCACAGACTAAAGTTCCCGAATTAACGGAGGAAAACTTTCCAAAACCAAAGACTACTGAGTTCTTAGCGCTGAACAAACCACCCCAAGCTACTTATAGCGAGAACTGAAAGTAAATTACGCTTCACGAAGGACTCAACGACCCATGCTGGATACATGAAGATTAACCGTTCTAACCTCATTACTCTCATAGGAAAATCAGAACTGTAAATCCGAGTCTTGTTTGGATTCCAGGGAATGTGGTTGCTATTTGTCATCTCTCTGGCTTTCCATAACCTATGTCTCTACAGTGGTACCAAACTAAAGGGTGAGATGAGGTTTCGTGCCGCAAACCCATGATTGGCGATTGGTTCCCTAAACCCTAATCACCTCTTCAAAATTGGAGTATATAAGGTATTTCTCCCGCTTTCCTAGCTTGCCTTTGTGGTGTAGTGGTTCTGCACGCTAGGCCGGTATTCCAGAGATCCGTGGTTCGATTCCTGGCAAAGGCAGTTGCTATTTTTCATCTTGCCTGCTTCCAAAAACATGCCTAATGTCTCTACAAGTGAACCAATGCAAAATCGCAAAACCAAAACAATAGTCCTTCAAGAACAAAACCCCTTTCGACTGAAAAATCGTCCAAACTTTTCTAAACTATATAAAAAAAAGTCCCTTGTCATACAGTTCATGTCAACAAATACGAAAGGAAGGTAAGTTGGAGTAACATAAGGTACTACAAGTATTATTGTGTACAAATGGACTTAAAGTTACAATTTCCATAAATGTATAATTTGTATGAAATAACTCCTATTGTAGGCTAAGCTTTTTAGTTTTATTTTTGAATGTTAAATACAAAAAATCTAAAAAAATTAGAATTTGTGCAGATCTGATATTTTTTGCAAAATTATATCTTGGATTTCTTATAACTTCTCACTATCTTTATTATGTATGCTTGTTCCCCCCCCCCATTGTACTGACATAATTTTTTCCTCTTTCAACCATATGGTTGCTAAAATGTGACATCAATATATGAAGGCTATACCTACTATTTCAGGGATGGAAATAAATCCTTCCTTCCCCCTACTGGGCACTTTTTTTTCCCCGATACTGGGCACTTTTTTAACAGATATTAATTGTGTTTAAATGAGAAAATCAAATTCTTGTGTTCATTATTCTGAAAATGCATTTAAACATTTATTTTTTAATTTAGTGCTGGTGTCGGTCGTAGTGGAGTTTTCATCACATTGAGCATAGTATTGGAAAGAATGCAGTATGAAGGTGTTGTAGATGTGTTTCAGACTGTTCGAACTTTGCGTACGCAGCGCCCAGGCATGGTTCAGACTGAGGTTAGTGGATATTTTAATGTATTATATTTCTTTAATGTCTCAGAGAGTAAAATATATGTTATTTTAACTTAAACAATGGCAATTATGTTAACTTAAAAAATTGTTCAAAAAAGTTGTTGTAACATAAGATAATACTTAATACAATAGAGCAACCAACTGTGTACCTAAGATAATCAGTATAGAATTAATAAATGTTGCTGGCTGAATATTTTGGGATGAGTATATATTTTATATTGTATCTAAAATTGAATTTATCATACAGCAGATGTTTTACAAGTCGTCAACACTTCAACAGATTTTTAAAAAAGTACATCTGTTTACTGTTAGGCTAGACACTCATTTTTGAAACATCATTTTTATATTGCTTTCAAGTAATATTATGTCACTGAATTCTTCCTGGCCCTGTTCAAAATTTAAATAGCTTAAAATATAGAAATAAGTTTTTGATAAAATAAATTAATATCAATTTTTAAAAAGTGCATC